TGGTCTGTTTAAATTGTGTCATGTATGTCTTGGCTGAGTGGTGTCCAGTGTCGTATGCATTATGCCGACAATCAGGGGGGGGGGGGGGGGGTACAAAGGGGTGGAGATAGAGAGGGCTTTCGTCTCTCCCCATGGTGGTCTGGGGCCCAAAGTTCCGGTTGACCGAAGACGGCATTCGGGATATGTGAGACTTTGAGATACTCGCCAATCGGCCAAGGGCCCCCGAAACTGAGAGGGGGCCTGTGATACTGAGAGGGGGATTCCATATTGCACAAGGGTACTGCCCGATACTGTCGGGCAGGAGTCTGAGAATATCTGTTGTCCAGGGAGCTCCGATACTGGACAGGGGCTCCGTGCCGGCCAAAGACCCCATCAGCCGAACAGGAGCAGAGCCCTCCGATCTCGATTATTCTCGATATTATATTCTCTTTCGTCACTAGGAGACCTCTCAGACAAAAGTAGGCCTTCCGTCAGGGGCTTCGGGCCCAGTCAGGGACCCGCACCAGTTAAAGCCTAATTCTGGGACAGTGACAGGGCCAAGGACCCAGAATGCCATACAGGAAACCTCTGGTGCTGCTTAGGGGCACTCGGAGAGTCGAGGGGCCCCACTGCGGGGAGAAAGGAATTCGATCCTGAAAAGGGGAGCCCCGATGCTGAACAGAGATCCGTGCCGGCCTGGGCCCCCATTAGCCTGACAAGGACAGAGTTATGGTCACTGAATGTCGGTCATAGAAGCAAGCTGGAAGCGAGTTATTGTGCTGTTAGATAGCACGTTAAGTGTTGATTTTTAACCTTCCAACTAACGGCGGCTGTTGCTCAATACAGGGGCCGAATGTCCTGGAACCAAGCCCGTGCCTGGTGATGCCTCCGAGCATCCATCGGTTTGGTGCCAGCTGATACTGAGCCTAGGCTAGGCCCACATTTGAGGCATCAGTCTAGGGGCCAAAAATTACTTTATTGTGAAATAAAAATATTTGTATGCTTCAAAATGGATGCTTCCGGTTTTTGTTACCAGCCGTCCGTACCAGGCGTGGAGACGCCAGAATGAGACTCATCAGGGGACGGGGCTTAACTGAAGGCCTGGGATTGGCCGATGAAAAGCGATTCGCGGCCAAAAAGTCTCAAATTCTTTGACGGAGGTGACATCAGGTTTTGGGAAGTGAAGCCCAAGACTCAGAGAAATTCGATAAAATGGAAACAAATATAAGACAAAACAGGAATATGTGGTAACTTACTGACATAGTGAATAACAAAATTGAATGATGTCACACCCTCAAAGTCAAGTTGGTCTGATTTGGTGATTTTCGAGGAGTATATTTTGGGCCCTTGGGGAAGGCGGAGACCACGTCTGGCAGTAGCCCCCGGCCCTTGGAGAATGTCTGCCCGTGCCGACAACCAGCTGGCACTAATCAGCCCGTCGCTTCTGTTTCATCACCAGGCAAGATTCCCTACTGCAGCATTCTGGCGATGGAGGAGACATCCGGCGGGTGGGAGCTGAAGGACGCTCTGTTCCCCCCGCTGACCCACTCTTACAACCAGCGGCTGGACCTGGCCCTGTTGAAGTAGAGGCGCGGCCGACGGCGACCTGAGGTGGCGCGCCCGGCTGACTTTGTGCGGCCGTTCCGCCGGTGGGAGGACGTCAGCGCCGGGAGGTCCGGCCGCCGGTGCTTCCTCGGCGACGTGTCGACTGGCACCAGCGGCCGCCGGCCGTGGCCACCTCGCCCACCCAAAGACAACCTGCTCAGAAACTCGAACTCATGGAACTGTGTTTAGCGACTGCTGTTCAGCGCACGCGACCCTTGCGGCTACGGCTCCTTCGCCGCGGCTGTGACGCAGTGTCATGTTGAGCTATTTGTGTTGATGTTCGCCAACGCTGCGCTGTTTCCCGTGCTCTGCGCCGCTGCAGTAGTGCTGCCGTCACCGGCGCGTGCTGTGCAGGTCGTGCGGACGTTGCCGCGGCTCTGATGGTCTCGCTGGGCGCCGGTGGGCGGCCTGGCGTTGGGCGCGGCGCAGGCCGCGGCCTTTCCCCTGTTGTGATGCGGCGAGGTAATTCCCCGCGCCTGGAGGCTTTCCATGTGTGCGCTGGGGTGGAGCGCTACTGCCGCTGCGTTGTCTGTTGTGCGGCGGCCTCCAGCCGGCACGTGCCGCCATGCGGGACCGTCCGTGGGGAGGGGAAGGGTCATGTCATCCAACGGCGCACCGTCCGTGGCCGCATACGCCGGTCGCCGCCGTGGACCAGACGAACTGGAGAGGTGTGAGGCTTGGGCTGGATTGTTGGAATTGTGGGTTTGTTGGGTTAGTGTTCGTTGTAAACCGTTCGGACGGTGTTTTGATGTAGCAGTGTCGTTTTTACGTGGAGCGTCAGGCCAGGGGCTGATCATTGCTCCAGTTGAATTTCCATGCAGGGGTCAGACCGTCTGAGACGGAGGTCTGTGTTGGAGACTAGCACATGTCCACTCGGCGGATGCCACCGTCTGAACCGATGTTTTGAAACGGTATCACTGCTGTTGGTATTGTGGACCACAGCAGCGCGTAAATGTATGCTAATTTATTACCCTGGGATTTCATACCGGTCCTCAGCCCGAAGTCGTCTCGCATCCAGGCCAAGATGCGTCCGGGACTCATGGGTCATGCGCGACTCGTGCGTGTCGGCGGTCGAACCCCGCGGAATGCAATCCACAGCTGTCTGGCGTCGGCGTGCCGGCATGAGCTAAAAAGACGCGGGTTGTTGGACGGAGAATGGGAGATACGAGACTTTTCCCAGCTCCGTAGGGTACACGAGCGCGTCCTGACGAATCTGCAAACGCCCGCCCAAACCCCTTCAAACGGCGCAGTCAGAGTGCAAGTTTATTTAGGGTCTCAAATAAAAACATTGATATTTATTAACCTAAAATACTCTTAAGTTGATTGCGAGTACGAAGTATGGTACGTGCGAAATGCATGGCAATCTGCCAGTACCTTCACAGCGAACAAAGTCCTATCAATTTGTTTTAGTCACGATTAAGCGTGCACAATACGTGCTGTCGAAACGTTGCAAAGGTGAGATATTCGCAAAACAACACAGTATGGCCAACACAAATGGGACACACGCAGTGGTCTACCACGCAAAACTGGTATGGCGGAGAAAAGGGGCCACCACGACCACATGCACGAGGGTGGTGGGATCTACTGGGGAATGATACGCTGTACGGCGTGGGCGCTCGTCGGGCGCGCGCGGGGGCATACGTGACGCGCACTTGTGTACCGCGCCAGGCGGCCTTGCTGGCACATCACTCCCCCCACATAATCCGGCAGAACCACTCCCTGTCGCTCCGCGCCGGACCGCAGATTACGTTGGAGTCTGCACAGCAAGCGCGAGCGCTGACAGTGCGGATGCGTGCAATGATTCGTGGCGACCTGTAGTACACATGACAAAAGAGCCGGTGAGCACGACACACTGCGCCACCTGCGCGCCCTCCAAACACGCCTCTCCCGGGACCGTGGCTGGCATCGATCTACCACACAGCACGCACTCCGCCGTCTGCGGGTCTTGGTCTGACCTGACTTCACCACGGACCGGACACTGGCGGCGCCCATCCATACAGAGCCAGTCACCACCACGCCCAATCCGCTCGAACGTTCAGCCGGCCCAACCGCCGGCCGGTTGTCCGGGGGGGTTCGGAGACGGCGCTGCCTCTCGCTACAGCCGCCGCGCCACGCGTCCTCGCGCGGCCGCCCCGCGGTCCACAACAGTCACCCAGCCCGTCTCACAGCCCTCCATCGGGTTCAGGTACCAACACAGCCCACACAGACCCCGCACGCACACGTGGCGGTGGCGGCCGCCTCGAGATCTGCCGGCCGCCCGCCCTGCCAGCGAGGCTCACAACCACATCCTGAAGCGGAGTACAGCGCCCACCATCATCATCATATACACATACCGGCACGTGCACGCCTAGACTGCAGAGATAAAACCGCTCAGGAGTGCGCGATACGAAAAGCAATATAAAACAGAACGGCCGGTTATTGTACAGTACGTGCGAAGCCTGTGCGATAAGCGTGCAAGTTTTCGCACAGACCACCCTACACGATACAGAATAAACAGCCAGTGCAAGCGTACTTCGCTCCTAAAACGGAAAGAATACTGAAGTCCGTCCATACAGCGGGACGGTCCATCCCTGAAGCACAAAGCAACCAATCCCCGGCTGACGGCCACCGCTGGCGCGCTGCACCCTGCCGCGAAAAGCGTGTCACCCGACTCACACAGCAGACCGGCTCATTCCTGAACTGTACATGTATCGGGCGACCGCTTGGTACGCATCGCAATTGGCCACATTCTTGAAGTCACGCATCCAAGAACGTCTCCAGCAACCGCACAAGCCGCACGTGGACACTGCTGAGGGTGCCGTCGCCCCCAGTCAGGGAGTTACAGCAGTGAACGGGGGTGATCCGTGCCCGGTCATAGTTACATTGGCGCTGAACAGCACGCCGGCGATGATCCGAGCACGCAGTCAGCCGGGGGCTCACGGCGGCACCTCTTCCGATCATCAGTCTGAGCCGCGACCTGCGGTCAGCCGCCACCCCGGGGTTGGCTGCATCACTCCGACCCCAAGCCCAACAGCCCGGCGGCTGGCTCTCGCCGCACGGGCCAGCCGTCCTGCCTGCGACAGTGGGATCGCCGGCGCTCCACAGACAGCCTCATATGGAGCGGTCACGGTGTTCGCGCGCGATTCCTCTCGGGTGTAGGCGTTTGGCGCGAGCGTCGCGCCAAAGCCCATCGTAACAACAACGTCAGAAAAATAACGTTCGCGAGTTTCTTGCGAGATCAGGACGTCACAGAGCGCGCCGGAACGTCGCCCGCGCGCCCAACAGCGGCGCTTCGAAGCGCCGCAGCGTCGGCCAAGTCTCCTTCGACGGCCGCGGCGGCGAGACGGCCGAGAATCGCCGCCGCGCCGCGCCCCTCGCCGCCAGACCGCTCTCCGCGCCCCGGCGCGCGGCCACGGACGGCAGGGCCCGGCGGGGGCCTACTCGGCCGCCGGCGCCGCCTCCCGGCGCTGGCGCTTCGGTCGGCGGCCGTCCTCGTCGTCCCTCCGCTTGGAGGAGACCTGCGACTGCGCAGTCAGCTGCAGCGACACGGCCTGTCGGCGACGGGCGCGGCGTCACGCGCGACTCGCGGTGCATACGCGCGCACGGCGTCCAGGGGAGAGCACGAGGACAACCCACTGGCGTCCAGCGGCACGGTGCTGCTCATCGTGACATAGAACACCCACGCGACGGCCGACAGAGCGACAGCGCAGTACCACCGCGCACGGCAACGCGGTGGAATGAAGAGAGCGGGAGACCGATCGAGACACAGAGACAAACCATCGACCAGTCCGACACCACGGAGGGGCGCCGCTCACCTGCGGGTTGAAGCGCTCCGAGGTCAGCAGGTCGCGCAGACCGGCCATCTTCTCGGAGCCGAGCCGGACACGGTGCGGCCCGGCCGGCGGCGGCTGACGCTCCCGCTCCAGCTCCGCCTCCTTCGAGGAGCCGTTGCTGGCCGGCGGCTCTGCGACACGCGGCGAGCGGCGGGCGGTCAGTGCCGGCACACACTGGGATCGCCGACGGGCACTGTAGAGTAACGCGCCACTTTGGCTGGGACTAGAACAGCCTGTGTTAGCTAGACCGGTGATAGATGGAAGGCAAAACCAAAGCAAACTGGCATGCAGTAAATATAAGCTCTTACTACGTGATCACTGCTCACAATTCAGATAAAATGCCGCTTTTAGTTTAGAGCGGAAAACACTCTAGCCTAGCGTCCGTGGCTTTTATGCAAAAAAGAGCTTCACGGAAAGCCAACAAGCAAACATCCAAATAACAACCGCACAAGAACCATGTAACTTTTACACGGAATGATTTGGCCTTGCCATTGATACCACGCTTTGTGCGGCAAACATCTTTTCACCAAGGCACTTAATACCATAATGGCAAACACTTCGTGCACCAACGCACCCCCGCCCCAACCCCGTGTACCTGGAGCTGAGCAGCGACCGCCTCCCGTCCCGTCCTTCCCTCCCCCCTCCCCCCCCCCCCCCCCACCACGTAGAGCCGTCGCCTTGCCTCACCCACCGGCGGCGGCGACGTCGACGGCCACCCGGCGGCGGACCTCCGGGTCAAACTTGGAGACGCATCCGACCATCTGCTTGGCCCAGCCGATGTGCAGCACGGGCGTGGAGCTGCCCTGCTCCCACTGGCACAGGCCATCGTAGAAGCGCAGCAGGTGCAGGTAGCAGTGCGGCTCGCGCAGCAGGCTGTGGGCGCTGATGCCCGAGCCCACCTCCTGCCGGCGCGCCGACGGCGTCCAGCGTTAGCCAGCGGGAGAGGGCGCCACAGACGGGACCGGTGCAGGGCGTCACTGGCGCCCGGAGCACGTCGGCATCTTAGCAGGGCGACGTAGGCGGGCTATAATCCGTGTCGGAGGGGAGCTCAACTTCTGCTTCTGCTTAATGACTCCTGCAACGCACCTGACAGCACGGGACAGAACAGAACGGGACAGTACGGAACAGTACAGGACAGAACAGGACAGAACGGGACAGACCGAGACTGGACGGGACAGAACGGGACAGGGCGGAACAGGTCAAAACGGGATAGGACAGATCAGGACAAGACGGAACAGAACATGACGGACGGAACGGAACGGCACACAACGGGACAGGACGGCACTGGACAGAATATAACGGGACAGAACGGGACAGGACAGAACGGGATGACATAAAAGGGGACAGGACAGAAGGGGACCGAACGGACAAGACACGACAAGACAGGACAGGACAGGACAGGACAGGACAGGACAGGACAGGACAGGACAGGACAGGACAAAACAGGATGGAACAGAAAAGTGCAGGGAAGGGCAGGGCAGGGCAGGACAGGACAGGGCAGGGCAGGCCAGGCCAGGCCAGGCCAGGCCAGGACAGGACAGGACAGGACAGGACAGGACAGGACAGGACAGGACAGGACAGGACAGACAGGACAGGACAGGACGGGTCCAGACAGTCAGCCGAGCAGAGGAATAGAAGACTACCTCCTAGTCGAGGAAAGTGACGACAATTTCCACTTTTGCAACGCGGCGAACAAGGGAGAGCGGAGGGGCACCTGTTCATAAACATCAGAGCACATTACGGAAAAACATGGCAGGCGGCGCGAAAAAGCATGGTGAGAACCTGCCTGTCGACCTGACCGAGTCATGAGACAAAGGAAGCTAAATCAGAGACCGACCTTGATGATGTGCGGGATCTTATCAATGGTGATCTCCATCAGCTCCTTGTAAACTTCTTCATCATCCCGCGAGTAGTCGTAACTGAAAGAAGCACAAGCGGATATGCAGAAAATGAAATGTAATCAATAGTTCGTCCGCAGTGGCGGCCAAATTGAACACCAAACCACATATATCACCAAAGCGTATACGAATGTACCACAGCATCCATATCCAAACGAAACAAACATATTGCATTTGTGTGCAGCTCAAAAGCGAGGTTTCCGCGAGCTCAATCCACTTAAGCCAGCTCGGAATAACCCATCGTTCCTAATGAGCGAGCCGCCGATTCGGAGCGAGCCCCGCCCTCCAGCGCAGGCGCGGCCCGGGGGCGGCCGGCAGGGCGCCGCGGCGCCGCCTCACTGTTTGAGCGCCTCGGAGGCGTTGGCCCAGGTCTCCAGCGCCTTCTCGTACTGCTTGCCCTTGTAGTAGTAGTCGCCGAGCGTGGTGTACGGGTACACGTGCCGGTTGCCGTAGCGCTCCTGCGCGGAGCAAGGTGGCGGTCACGGACGGCTCGGGGGTCGGCGGACGGACGGTGCAGACAGGCGCCCGCCCGCGGCGGCGAAGACGGAGGCACTGGCCAGACGCCGTCAGCGGCATGCGATTCGACGGTCACACCGAAACAGGGCCAGACGGGCCCGACCTTCACCACGCCGGGCTCTGTCCTTCGCCCGGTTTGCAGCTGACCACGAACTACTTCGTTTGGCAGTGGGACTTGCATATAATCAACCAGCCATGGCAGCGTAACAATGGTGTGCATGTCCAAACATAAACTTGCGTCCGACACGGGGATATCCTGTCTGTTGGTCGTTCCGCCGGCGCGTCTACAGCCGAGACAGGGGACCAGCACGTCAGTGAAGGGGGCGACACACCGCGACAACACGCGCCATTAGCCGGCCCAGGCAGCCTAGGGTCGCAAGGACGGCCTGAGTCAACGCTCGCGAGGGAGCCCGGGTGACTGGCGGCGTGTCCTGGAGAGAGGCGAGGCTAGCCAGCTACTGACCCTGGCCACGGTGACGGCCTCGTGCAGCAGCTCCAGCGGCTTCGGTCGGTCTGGCGTCGGGCTTGCCTCCTCCAGCTCAGCCAGGTTACCTGACGGGGCAGGTCAGGGGTCGTCACAACGTCAGCAGTCATCAGAGCCGTCAGCGCAGCGTTATGTACCCCCTCCGGTTCTGGCAGGCTAGGTCACGGGCCAGACGTCAGACTGCGGTCACAGTAAGACCGCGGTCTGGTCCCTGACCCCTGAGTCAGACCCCTGACCCCCTGGAGACCAGCGACAGCTCACACAGCCCAGCTGATGTAATACGCCTTCCATGCCAACGCCACAGGCGAGACTTGATACTAGTGAAGATGGTAATGGCCTATGGTTATGGGGTATGCTGGTGATGGCCACACCGTCACTACCTTACCTATGGCCATGGGGTAGGCGGCGATGGCGCCGCGGTCGTACAGCAGCCAGAGCAGGCGCTGCTGCAGCAGGCTGAGCTCCATCGAGTCAGCCGCGCCGCTGATACTGGGACTGATGGACGTCACCACGGCTGCCACCTGGTGACGACCCACGGAACCACAACATTCAGTGCTGACCGACAGGATCAGGTCACCGTTGACACATTGTACAAGGTGTCCGACGGCGTCTGAAGTGTTCGGTATCTGTCTGCAGTGTTTGAAACGTCCAGCGTCTGGGTACATACCAGCAGTATCCAACATGTCTCCAAGTGCCCCTTGTGTCTGCAGAATACCTTAGTTGTCCGCGCAATGAACCCTCGCGCTGGTTCACGCGTTACTGACAATGGAAGGTGCACCGGTGAAAACCGGCTCCGGGTTTCCCTCGACGTCGGAAGCATACGCAAAACCTTTAATCATCTGGCCATGCATGTCTAGGAACTAAACCACATCTCCGCAACTGAAGCGATGCACCTCCCGATTTATGAGACGGCTCACCACGTGGCGGTCGTTCTCAAGGCATCTGTTCCAAGCCACACGTCCGGAGCGTGGCCGGCAGCTCAGCCACCAGCTGGAGGCCGGGGACAGGCGCCCCCCTGCACGCGCCCGCACAGCGCCGGCCGCGTCCGCTGCCAGCCGTACCTGCATGTGTGCGGTGCAGACGACCGCGCTGCCGTTCAGGTAGAGCCAGCTGCGGCCGGAGGAGGCGCTGATCGGCTGGCCCCGCTTGTCCTCGTTACCCTTGCCTGCCGACGACGGACGGCGTCAGCGGTGACAGGCGCCGGCCGCAGAGCCGGTCACATCGGGCGTGCTCGGACAGCTTCTGGATGCACCCACGCTCGCCCGTGGCCAGCATCGATTGACACATGAGACACCGCCCTTGCGCCCCCCAGCTGATAGCGCAGGATCCGATCACTAAACACACCCGGAATAACCAGCCTCAGCCGCACCACCACTCATCACACGGTTGAGACAGCCTATCCAGCCTGGACACACATCCGTTTGACCAGTACCTGAATGACAATTATGGACATGACCAGCAACGATGCGATCCTGAGCATCCTCAGCTGACCTCTGTCGAACCTCACTCAGGCTTGTAATCGGAGACATCCCAGCGGTTAGCCTCGCGGACGCCGTGCCGGGCCCATCTGTGCCGCGGGACGGCCGACCGACTCCTCCAGGTGACATTATAATTGACCTTGCCAGGTGACCTCGGGACTGACCGCTCCAGGTGACCTCGAGACTGATCGCTCTAGGTGACCTCGGGACTGACCGCTCCAGGTGACCTCGAGACTGATCGCTCTAGGTGACCTCGAGACTGGCCGCTCTAGGTGACCTCGAGACTGGCCGCTCTAGGTGACCTCGGGACTGATCGCTATAAGTGACCTCGAGACTGAACGCTCGAGGTGATCTCTGGACTGACGCCGCCAGGTTGACTCTGGGCACTGAGCCCGCTGGGTGGCCTCGGGACTGACCCTGCCAGGGGATCTCTGGACTGACGCCACCAGGTGACCCTCTGGACGACCGTGCCATGTGACCCTCTGCCGTCTCGGAGCCGTCCGCGGCCGAACACGACCCAGGCGTGGTCCTCGGAGAGCGCCAGCTGCACGTCGTCCAGACCGAGCAGCTGGCAGGCGGCCACCACGGCCACGGCCACGCCCAGGCAGTCCAGGCGGTTACCTGTCGGGCCACCACGGACGGCACGGTGAACAGCTGGGTGCACACAGTCCCGACAGACCACCCGCCAACACGGACGAGACGGGCGCTGGCAAGGCCAGCACAGGCCAGTCCGCCTCCGGCACAGGCAGCGCAGATCGCAGCTGCCTGGCTGCCAACATGGCTCGGAGGGCTGCTGGTCACACGCGCGCAAATCGGACGACGAGCGACCAGACGCGCGCAAACAACGTGGCTTCCTCCGCACAGGCTGCTGACATGACGCAGGCACGCGCCCCGCAGGTCATGGGGAACGGCTGTTGACGGGCCTCACGCAAGGACCGACAGCTGGCTCAGACTCATGGGCCTGGCGCGCCTCCACCGCCTGCCGCGGCCCCCCTCACCAGTGAGGAAGCTGTAGATGCTCTGGATGTGCGGCTTGTCCTTGTGGTAGCTGCGCGCCAACGAGAACCAGATGACGTCGGAGACGCGCTTGACCAGCGCGCGCGGAGTGCCGGCGCCTCGGTCGAACGCCTCCAGGTCGACGGCGTCCAGCACCAGCGCGCAGAACTTGGCGTGCAGCGCGAACACCGTGTCGTACTCGAGCGGCGGCAGCGGCACCGAGTCCGGATCGCCCACGTACCTGGCGACGGCGGGGGGACGGGACGATGACGGGGAACACTCAGCCGCGTCGGCAGGGTGAGATGGCGGCGCGGCGGCCGGCCCACACCCCGCCTCAGTACTTCGGCGGGCGAGCGGGGATCACAGGCCGCCATAACTTGCATGAGTACACTGAGCAGTTCATTATATATTATCACCATGCCATTGACCAGAAAGTCATTTAAAGGAGCAATGTTTGTCATCAATTGTTTCTCATCAAACTAACAGACCGTCTTCATAACCATATGCACACCAACCATAACCCATTTGCATAAACATAACATTCGTCTGTCGACATACATTCACATGCCTGTGCACATACACTCACCTGTCTGTTCACTGTGCATCCGCCCAAATTTTTACCGGTCCAAAATGTCTCAACCAAAGATCATCACACCTCATTTCTACGCTCAAGCCTACTCGCAGGTCAGCCCAACAGGACCACCAAACCGCTCGTGACCCCCCCCCCCCCGCCCCCCGCCGGAGCCCCACCCCGGCGACGCTGCTCACTCGTCGGTGACGTCACTGGGCGCGTCGGCGTCCGGCCGGACGGCGGTCAGCGAGTGCTCGATGGCGCCGGCCACCACCGAGAGCAGCGCCAGCGACGGCCGCCGCTTGTCCAGCTCGAGCGCGAACAGGCGCGCCGCGTCCGCCACCGAGCGCAGCGGGAACAGCGCCTGCTGTTCCTGACTCAGCACGCGTCTCATGGTCAGGGAGCCGGAGGCGGCGGGCGCTGGGGAGGAGGCGCACACGTGAGCAGTCTGCTCTTGCATACTGGCTGCTGACATGAACAACCATCATACATATAGTGAAATACAGACCATTTTATCTTACTTTTTGTCATACTTATTTTATGTTACTTGAAATTGTTGTTTAATATTATTCTCATCAGGGTGACTTGCATCCTTAGTATCCATTAGGTCTCAAAATCCAGCCAACAGTACCTTTTGTGACAACCAGCATGAATACATGCAGCAACTACAGTGACATTAATAGGCACCCAGGACTAATAAATAGCAACCTCATGGAACTAAGATTGTCTGCTGCATTCAGAGCTTCTGCAATTGGTGAATAGATATTTCTGTGCCCACCAATCAGCACACTTTTTGAACAGCTGCAGTCAGTCTCAAGCATGCCTCATAACCTGATTTGCTCAGTTTCAAGGATGTCTGTGTGGCCTCTTTGCATAAAAATGCAAATGAGCTGATTATTTCACCAATTAGCCCAACTCTAATGCAAGTTTATTTTGTTTGTCAGCTGAGGTTTCATGCCTGGTAAAACACACACAAATGATGGGATTAAATGTACCATGTGACAAGCCATGACTACAGCATGCTGTTGCAGCAAGAACTGTGGGTGCTGCTCATCAGTACCCTGGTAATGTCATTTCTGTAGGGTGGGTAGGGAAAGGGATGACCCCCAATTTTTTTCTTCATATCACTGCATTCAGGAAGTTACATAGCACAGCCTATGGTGATTTTTGTAAAAGAATACCATTCAACATTAGAGCAAACAAAAAGTTTTCAACATATCACAAAGCAACCTATCACCCTGACTGGGGTAGAAGCCGCCACTGGGTTAGACTCCCACAGCACCATCTGTCAGGACCTGTGCTGCCTTGAGCTGGGTCAGCCACACTTCCCTGCAGGCATCAGTGAGGGCTTGGGTATAATTTCAAACCATGCACCAACATGGCCTCTATCCATACCAAGTGGAAGTTAAAATTGCAGTTGTGCCATGCCCAGTACAGTGACCTTTGAAACTGAATTCCAGGGATCAAATAATTTGAAGATAATGCTCCCCTGCCAGAAAAGTAGTGAAACACTTTTTGGCCTTGGATAATAAACATGTTTAAACAATGAAAAGAGCAACAGAAAAACAATGCAAACACAATCACTTGCCCTTATGCTGTCAAAATGACATCTTGGCCTTAACCTGAGATGGGCTGCTAGTCATCAGAGGATATCACACCCATTTATTTTCCACATCATTAGAGCAAAGAGGAAAACCGCACATGAGATCCGTTATGTATGATGCAGCTTTAGTCAAGTATTCTTGTAATGCATATACTACCTGTCCATTGGGCTGTCTCACATTTAATTCATCAAACACCTGAACTACTCTGAGTAAACAAAGGTGGCATTATATTACAGAAGACAAAGCAAAATGATCTTTGAAAAATAATCATTGGACCTTTTTGCAAAAAACCAAGTACAAACCTGTATTCAGAAGATTTCTTGACTTACTTCAATGGACCATGCACCCCTCAAAATATAAAAGATTTCTTGACTTATTTCAATAGACCATGCATCTCTCAAAATATAATGAATATTGCATCATGTTGCCAAAGGCAGGGGTGATACCAAAATATCGCTATCGAATATATACCTGCAAAGCCCAGTTCCCAACATGCCACAACTCTGCTCTAGTGAGGTCTATATTGTACTTTGCTGTTAAAGTAGCCTGCCAGCTTCAATGTTAACAGTTTTGAGCAAGGTTCTGCATGAGTCAGAAGTGGGAAACTAAAACAGAAAGAAGTCCAGTGAGCCAGATGAGTAACTTCTACCAAAGCAGGTATCTACAGGTAGGATATAGATCCAAGTAGAATATAAGATACAAGCACTTTCATTGTCAGGTACACCCTTAAGCCATCACCACTGAGGATTGTTTCACACTTTTAGGATTAAGCAGCATTGTATATCATTTGTTGTTAGAACTGAAAACAAAAAGGGTCAAGATTGTGAACAGAAACTGGCCTGAAATGTGTGTTATGCCCACTTTCAAACCAGAAACCATTGAATCAGGGCCAAGACGAAGAAATTTGGCAATGTCTGGAAATCAAAGTGCATACATTTTCTGTTTGGAAGCTTACACTACCTTGGGATTACTTGTTCTGTCAGTGATCTTATTTCATTGAGTACTTAGATTGTGGAGTATGGTTTGATTAAAAGCTGTTCAAAATGCATCAGGTTCTGTACAGTCTGGGGAGGATTCAGGAATCACGCTGCACAGATCTTGGTGATGGTGTTGTGATGGTTTGCAGCTAATGTAATACATACAGGCACCAAAATGAAGGAATGATGCTTCAAGTAAAGCGGCAATCAAAGGCAGCATATTAAAGCTTGCAATTATCCTTGCAAGTACAACGTGAAACGCATATACCTTAGCGAATTGGCATCCCAAACCTACCTACCGTTCTTTATTGTCCCTCCACCGCTGTGGAAATCTTTGAGGGTATAACCCCGGCAGAAATCGAGCTAGGGAAATTGCGCACTAACGGGGTAATCCCACGCAGCCGGCCTTTTTATGACCATCTGCACCGGTACCCGCTGGTATGCACCGGTACGCCAATTACTCTGCCGCTGCGCAATGCTGGGAGAAATGCGCAAATCTTTTGAACGATGTGCGTCATAAACGTGTAAAATATGGGTTTTTCCATTGTTATACTAGTTGAAATAAGTTGGATGTGACATAAAACCTGGAATTTTGCCGCTATGTATGCTGAAATCTGTTTTAAAGCTCAAATTTTATTATTTCAACACAAAAAAGTAAATTTGGTAATTTTATTGTTCAAATGTTGACTTGTTTCCTGTATATTTTAGGCTACTTTTTAGGCACACTTAGACTATTCACATTATTCGATTTTCGGGCGCGCTGGTGCATGTTTACTGCGTGGTCACGAAAACACTTCGACACGGGAAGCGCAATTTTTGAAGAGGCTCGTGGGAATTGGTGTATGTTTTGAACGACGGGTGCCTTCGTTTTTGCATTAAAAGTGTGGACTCTTTACTTCGTGCCTCATTATTTGTTAAACTGATGTGTTCTTAGCACCTTTCATTATTCTGTTAGAATGGTTTGCTACATCTTCAGGCCATCTCAATATAATCTTGGATAGGGAAAGCACCGAGCCGGGATTGTTGGGCATGATTCATGATTCAGGTGTGTGATTTGAAAACATTCATGATGTGGGATCACTAGACATGATATAGGTTTACTAAAATGCTACTGTTGCTTCAGTGTAGTTTGGTCCATTGTGCACTCATGGTGTTGAAGCAGTACAGGGTAAGGAAGCTGAATCTGTAATGAAAAGAAGCTACAGGTGTAGCAACTATTAACCAACACACATGAGTACCTACCTTGGTCCTTACCTGTCATTCACTTAAACTTGGTTGCCTTTGACTTTCACTTGCTATGGTTTGCTATTTATTTGTTTTTTGCTTTGTTGGTTTATTATATATATATATATATATATATATATATATATATATATATATATATATATATTATTGGTTTATTGCTAAGGGTGCCTGAGGCTTTGGGAGGATAACCATTCTGGTGATAAAATACAAGGCTGTCATTGCCAGTTTTTAAGTGGTTTAGGAGTGACTGATAAACATGGTGGTATAATTAGCCCTGGTTTTTCCTATCAGAGTCATTAACCATTTGTCATTTCCACCTATTACCATGCACCTTGGTGGTTTCATGCAGTTCATTAATTTCAGGCAATTTTTATTGTGCAGATCCATCATATGCACACTTTTTCATAATATCATTTTTTGTGTGTTTTTGTGAGACCTTTTTGGTAGGTATGCGGGCATTCAAAAGATGCTACTTGATGACAATGTTCAATTGCTCATTTAGATAGCAGAACGAGACATTTGTCATTGCCATTTCTTATTGCCCAACACCAGCTAGTACCTACTCGCATCCTATCATGTGCATCATCTGTTTGCTTCCTGGTTGGTTGTTGTGATTATCTTTATTTTGATGCATTGGTTACCATGCTACCAGTGCATTATTTTTTTATCTCCTCAGGAGTGTGAGTGGATTTACTGTGTTACAAATAACAGAGCAAAAGCTGAACGCCAAGATGGCCCTGGCCCAAGTAGAACAAGTTGTTGCAACAGCTGAAGAAGATGAAGACTTTGGGCCATTGCTCATAAACAAACTAGAGGTAAACATGTGTGTTTTTGTTCTGACCTTTGCATATCTCTGAAACTGATATTCTTGCTGAGGTCATCATGTTATTTTTGTATTTGTGTGCTGGGAAAACAGATGCATTTGACATTACCAGTGTGCCTAATCACATACTGACTATTATGCAGCTCAGTGAGGTTCACATTCCTGTCAACTAGCTATGCTGTGTAACTTTCATGCAATTGTCTATAATGGTTTGTCTGTAGTTGTCATGCTATGTAATTGTCTTTCAGAGCCATGGCATAGGGGCTGCTGATGTCAAGAAGCTTATGGAGGCTGGATTCCACACTGTTGAGTCAGTAGCCTTTGCCCCTAAGAAGCAGCTCCTTGGAATAAAAGGGATAAGTGAAGCCAAGGCAGACAAAATATTGGTAAGAACTGGGTTTGAAATATTTCCTGCTCCTAGCAATGGTCAAATTGGTCAACATTCAAAGTTTAAGTTCTTCCTAGATATGGGGCAAAAAGTTTCCCTTTTAAAACAATCAATGCATGCACGGTATCTTTCTTTTCTTCAGCCGGACCCAGTATGGTCTGGTCCGGTCCGGTTGCATGCGACTGAATTACACGTCCCGGTCCGGTCCGACCTGACCTGACTTATTTTCAAGCGGGTCGTTCCCATCGTCACATCACACCGGCGCCCCTCTCCATCCAGGTGGAGGCGGGTAAACTGGTGCCAATGGGCTTCACCACGGCCACGGAGTTCCACCAGAAGCGGTCCGAGATCATCCAGATCACGACCGGCTCCAAGGAGCTGGACAAGCTGCTGGGCGGCGGCATCGAGACGGGCTCCATCACGGAGATGTTCGGCGAGTTCCGCACAGGTCAGTGGCTGGGCTGGGCCGGGCGGACGGCGACGGCGGCGGCGCGCGCCGCACGCGCTGGCGCCCGTCAGCTCGCCGACTGCAGAGGCGGCTGGTGCGGCAACGAGGTGGCTGGTGGAGGGCGGGGGGCGACGCTGCTGGTAAACGCGCGCTTGGGCCCAGGGGCGCCTGCCATAGAGAAGATTCACGTGGATGATTCTGGTGGGCTCTGCTGCTTGGAGTCACCTTCCGCGGTACATTTGTTGAGTACGTGTGATTATATCTGCAGTTGCTGGACTCATTGCGCTGACTGATTTTTGGTTATTGATGCGATTTTTTGTGTATGTCTGGAGAAACACCACAGTAACAGCACCAGGTTGTCAACTTTCTCGTGGGGTGTCCAGACGCTGTGCCTGCCTGATGCCGTGGTCGTTGGATACTAAACCGGTTGTTGTGAGACACTGTTGTGCTTATCTGACGTTATAGTTGCTGTAGAGCAGCGTTCTGTCACAGAGCTGGCCCTTATTGAAAGGATGTGTGACGACATGCGCGTCACATCCCTTAAAGATAGCAAGTTGACCACAAGTACCTTCCTCATGACCTCTCGTCGTGAACTTCGCGATTATTACGGAGACTGTTAAACGAACGCCGTCCAGTCAGCCGGTTACATGAATGGGTCCTGTATTTGTACGCAGTGGTCCCTGTCCCTTCACGATTTCACACAAACATTATGCCGTTCTCCACCCCCCCCCCCCCCCCCACCATACGGATGTCATCACGAGTCAGCAGATTCTCTCAGCAGCGCCCTGTCGTCAGCTGTCCGTGCCTCTGCCGCTGGTACCCCCCCCCCCCCCCCCCCCCGATCGCCCGCGGACCCGCCAGCTGACCGCGCGGCTGCCGGCGCCGCAGGCAAGACGCAGCTGTGCCACACGATGGCTGTCACCTGCCAGCTGCCGGTGGACATGGGCGGTGGCGAGGGCAAGTGCCTCTACGTGGACACGGAGGGCACGTTCCGCCCCGAGCGGCTGCTGGCCGTCGCCGAGCGCTACGGCCTCAGCGGCGCCGACGTGCTCGACAACGTGGCGTACGCGCGCGCCTACAACTCGGACCACCAGACCCAGCTGCTCATCCAAGCGTCCGCCATGATGGCCGAGTCCAGGTGACTGGCCGGGAGAGACTGGCGCGCGCGGCCGGCCGTTTCCGTCCGCGACACGACGCGCCCCGTTTGTGTGTGTCGCCGGGTTACGTCCGTGACCTGTGCGGCCCAAACGGTTGTTCATTGGTTAGGCGGTTGGTGTGTGCCCGGTGGTATTGCCAATAGGGGCCCCAGCCGACCTTCCACAGCCGTGACCCATGCCGACCGCATGGACGATGAAGACTTCGTGAGCCGTGCTAACCCCCTGGAAACGTGGACGTGGTTCGTGGCATGATGAGCCAGTGGTTCGTGCTGAATCCATAACCCTGCTGAACTCCTGGCCTGCACTGCCATGTGACCCATGTATGCCCCGAAACCTGCCCTTGCTCGCTGACTCATGCTGACTCCGTAACCCGAACTGGCCGCACAGCCGTGCCGACTTTGTGACCGTCTCCGTGACCCGGCCGATCGTGCCGGGCGCTGACCTTGTAACCCCAGCTGACCCCTTGCCCCCGGCTGACCTGGGCAGGTACGCGCTGCTGATCTGTGACAGCGCCACCTCGCTGTACCGCACCGACTACAGCGGCCGAGGCGAGCTGTCGGCGCGCCAAATGCACCTGGCGCGCTTTCTGCGCATGCTGCTGCGGCTGGCCGACGAGTTCGGCATCGCCGTGCTCATCAGTAACCAGGTGGTGGCGCAGGTGGACGGCGCCGCCATGTTCGCCGCCGACCCGAAGAAGCCCATCGGCGGCAACATCATGGCGCACGCCTCCACTACCAGGTGAGGCCCCACCAGGGGTGGTGTTCGACATCACGGCGCGCGCCTCCACTACCAGGTGAGGCGCCACCAGGGGTGGTGTTCAACATCATGGCGCACGCCTCCACTACCAGGTGAGACCCCACCAGGGGTGGTGTTCAACATCATGGTGCGCGCCTGCACTACCAGGTGAGGCGCCACCAGGGGTGGTGTTCGACATTATGGCGCAGCGCCTCCACTACCAGGTGAGACGCCACGAGGGGTGGTGTTCAACATCATGGCGCGCGCCTCCACTACCAGGTGAGGCGCCACCAGGGGTCGTGTTCGACATCATGGCGCGCGCCTCCACTACCAGGTGAGGCGCCACCAGGGGTGGTGTTCAACATCATGGCGCGCGCCTCCACTACCAGGTGAGGCGCCGCCAGGGGTGGTGTTCAACATCATTGCGCACGCCTCCGCTACCAGGTGAGGTGCCACCAGGGTTGATGTTTGATTGGTCGGGGAGGGGGGGGGGGGGGGGAGACGCGTGTATGCGTAGCCACTGAAGCGTCCCAGAATTCATCCAGTTGGGAGTGCAGCAGGTAAACATAAATTCGGGCTACCCGAATCATGACTCTCCTGCGGCATTCGCGCACACAGTGAGTTGGCTGTTAATCCGTTAGCCTTTGACCCCGAACCCTGACATTTGACCTGCCCGACCGATTAGTCAAGCCCGGGGTGTCTGGACGTGGGGCTGACCGCCACCTCGGCCTGGTTCGGTGCTGAGTGGCTTGTCTTGAGCAAGGGGAGGAGCAACAGGCAGCGACCTGCGAGGTAGAGGTGCGATAGCATGGACATGCATCGACATCCCTGCCACCCAAGTGGCCGAATATAGGAACATTGCGCCGCTGGGTTGGAGGTCTGGCTGTGATTGATTTGGAGTAGGCGGAGAGGACCAGGCAGCTTGTCATGCTGAGAGCCTGAGACATCGACGATTTCCTTGACTTGCTGGTGTGGTGGGTGGTAAGTTCATCGCTGTTCTTTTGCAGTGCGGCAATGTGAGCAGTCATTAGAACGCATCTTTGCACTGTAACTACACCAACACACATTTTCAACTACACCAACACACATTTTCCTGTCGTTATTCATGTGATCGACCCCGTTGCCAGGCTGTACCTGAGGAAGGGTCGGGGCGAGACCCGGATATGCAAGATATACGACTCGCCGTGTCTGCCCGAGGCCGAGGCCATGTTCGCCATCAACGCCGACGGCATTGGCGACGCCAAGGACTGAGCGGCGCGCGCCCGGACAATGTGTCTGCTCTGTACGGACGGCCGGTGTTTGGCTCTCCTTGGACGCTGGAGCGTGTAGACTCGGGTGCCGCCGGTGGAGCCGATGCCGCAGGGAGACACCGGACGCGACGGTTCGGGAGGACCGCGCGTTGTCACCCTCGGGCGCCATGGAGCGCCGGGCGCCGCGGCAGCCGTGTCCAGTGACGGTGATGCTCGGCCTGGAGACGGAGGATTTGTGGTGTAGGAATTGAGGTATATTAGGCTGTTCCCGGGCCCGCTGTTTCAAGGAAACGGTGAGTGGGACAGAGTGCCGGAGCCGCTCGGTGCACATGGAAGCTTGATCTGTAGCTTTCCATACGATTGTGTGCTGTTTGCCACGGTTGGTCGCACCCACTTTTGTCTGATGTATAAACCGAAAATGTTTTTGCCGAACAGATGCATTCCTCCCAAACGTTCACTGGGCTCAGCTCGGCCACCGCACTGTGCATAGTGTTCTTGATGTCTGTGTGTCGGGCGTACACCCGTGATGTGTTCCGTGTAGCCAAGGAGCTGGAAGGCTGCACTCTGCGAGTGTCACGTGTTTTATGCATCTGGGAATATAGAGAAATCCAGGCACGTCTGTTTTCGTCCGCGTTGTACTGTCAGTATCCTTTTCGTTATTCTGGTCTAAATATAAATATAATATTATATATATTTCGTTATTCTGGTCTAAATATATTATGGGCGTGCGTCATTGACGAAGTTGATGCCTCGAGTGGTGTGACTCTCGAATGAAATGGCACGCGGTGTCGTGTGGGACGGGAGGGTCACGGTTCTCTGATGTCAGTGTGGGCAGGTATGCGAATGTTAGAAAACAATTTGTGTAAGGAACATTACGGAAATAAATGGGTGGCATAAGCGGCTGTACACAGGCGCGACCAGACGCCTGCTGCTCAGCATTTCACCCGAAGTTGTGCTGGGGTATGGCCAGGGCTAGGATATGGCCTGCACCGGGCTGCGCAAGTGTTGATTCGCATGCAGGTCATGTGTGTGATTACATTACCATGGATGACATTTTCTGAGAACTCTGCGCGATTGTCTGGGCGGCACGCTCAGGCACAGAATCCGGGTCTGTGGTGTGAATCGCGATTAGGCGGGATCTCGCGCAACGATTATGGCCGTCATGCGGATGAGGTCCAACCATACTGGTGTTCGTGGGAAAACTTCGGCAAGATGCCGAATGTGAAGATACGGTGAAAAGGAGACAAAGATGAAAAGCAACAACAAATAATCCATCTAACTACGCGAAGTGGATTGCTGAGACCGAACCGACTCTAGGTACTGTTGGACGATAGAACCAAGGATGCGCATACTAACAGGGACAAGGGCACGAATGCCGAACCAGACTAACAAAAACGTCGGGATTGCCCCTCTCTCGGCCAGATCTTGCGATCTGTATTGATACTCTGTGCATAGAGAGAACCTGCGATACTGCAGAGTGCTCCCCATTGAAATTGTTTTATATAGCGCACTAATTTTGATCGGAGCACTGCCAGGATAACGTCGCGTCGCGTTAGATTTAGTTGACTCGACCCACAGGCGGTGACTGCCCCAAGTGGCTAACTCAGCGCATACGACGAAACAGGCCGGCTGAATCCTTGGGCTGAATGAATAGGCTGAATTTGTTATTGTGCTGTTCGTAGGCGCTGGAGTTTGAGTTCACAGGCGTAGTGAGGATTACTTTAGGTTACGGAGGTGCCTGTGCTATTCTTGAAGGGCTGAATTTAGTTGCCAGAAGTCCAAGACAAATGCTGGTTTGTCTACCAGGAAGTGTAAATTAAAATCTTCTGAAACCAGCATAGTGTGGTAAGTCTGAGCTGGGGTCGCGTGTCAGTCTTTGTTTGCCGGTTCTCGAGGATGCGGTGGTAGTTTGCCATGAGCCTCAGGAAACAGGCTGCAGAAAAGGCACATGGTTATGGATCATGCAACAGTGAGTAAAATAGATGATTTGCAATCAATTTTCAACATCACAATGAAATTTCCTTTCGGATGCCTGTGCAGATGATTTTATTAGTGGCATAGTAAAGGCTTAGCTGAAATGGCAAAAAAATGGAGGTGTGACACACAATGTATGTGACAAGCTAGTGAGCTCAGTTACATGCACACCACACCAAACATCTATGATGTTGGTGCTCCAAGCCTGAAGCATGCATGTGATGGAAATAATGTTTTAGAGGTGTTTTGATGGAAATAATGTTGAAAGTATTGTAGCATCATTACAGAAACATTGGCTCAACATGTGCCAAAATTGGTGGTAACCATGCAAACTCAGGGTCTTCAGAGTCACACAATGTACATACTGAAACTGTTGCTGAAATGTGACTGCTATATTGGGCATGCTTACTATCACCTGCATTTTATACAGTCTGGCTTCTAAGCTTTGGGGTGATAGCCTTTCTTTTGTGATTTCTCTCCTGTCAACATATGTAGTTTCAATGTTTAATTCATTAGAAACTAAGGGGTTGGTAGGGGGGATCATGCCTTGCTCCCATGCCCCACATTCATGATCCAACCAGAAGAGTTTCTCTCCTGACACACAGTTCTTTGGTAATATTCTTGAATTTCTTGCTATAGAGCATGATGCTGTGGAGAGTTATATTGGATGACCATTTTGAACATAACTCACGAGCAATGCCCATGTGCTTCTAGTCAAGAGCTACATACTTTGTGTACCCCAACCCCTTTCCCATCCGTTCCACTGACAATACCGCAGATTGCAGATGACAATGCTGCATGCATACCAGTATAAGAGCATTATGAATAAGTTAATGAACAATTATTTATAGAAATTGGTAAGAGTAAATCATTACTTTGGTACTTAAAGTATGTGGAATCACTAAACATAAACAGTACAAGAGTGAACTGCACTCATCCTGAGCAGTTCCATAATTTAAATTGTGTGATGGCTGATTGTCAGGGTGGGATCAGAATGCTATGGATGGCATGTGGATGCACGCATATGTGTGCACATATGTTATGACTGCATTTACAGGTTTAGTCCCAGTGTATGCTGTGCCCATGTGTTATCACAAATTGCAAAGCTTACTTTTGTCTGAAGTCCCATGATGTAGATAATGTTTGATATAAATGCAGGAGACTGACATAGTATTGCCTGAATAGCTGATGTCTGGACTGCAGATAGTGGTACTGAGCATGTATGTGGTGGTAGGTGATGGTGATATTGAGTATGCGTGTGTTCAAACAAATAAGATGGTAGGGTCAAAATTTTCCAGTGCTCTTATGTAAGAATCATAGCATTTCAACACTCTGAGTTGGCATACCTTGGAAACTGTGTGAAGTGACAGCCTTGATTCAGTGGCTGGTGGTGGGCTGCTGTGATTTTTGCTTTGCATTACACACACAAGATGTTTTTTTGTTTTCTGTTTCAGATACAAGCTTCAAATGGCTTCCCTTAATGAGGTGGTGAAAATTCACCAGAGCCTAGTGAAAGAGTGGTCATCAAAGACCAGGAATCTCAAGAAATGTGAAGACTATCTTACAAAGGCAAAGGTAGTGCTTGGTTTACTTCATTTCTTGTCCAGTGTCATTAATACACTGCAGCATTATGTCAATAATCCTGTACAAAGTATTTGCAATGTGCCTAGTATGTATATAGTAATGACATGTGAAGTACAGAGCTTTCACACAGGACAGGACAAGAGGCAGTGTGACATCCTTTGCAAGCACAAGTGCTGCATCATGTTGTGACTATGTTACCTCCCAGAGGTGATCAGTAGCCAGCTGGTGCCAACTGGTCTGTCGGTGTCATCAACAGTTGGTGCTGACCTGGTGCAAGATTATCTCAGCTGTTGACGCTCCCTATAACGCCCAAACAGGGGCGACGTGTCTGACCGTGCCACCACCCATGCCGACCGCCCCGCCCTTGTCGCCAGCTGGCGCTGACCCGGCTCACCTTCCTGCCGACGTCGCACGCCGAGGCCTCCAAGCAGGAGCTGATCATCGCGCGTGACGTGCTCGAGATGGGCGTGCAGTGCGCCGTCGAGCGTCACGACATCCCCGCCTTCGAGCGCTACATGGCCCAGCTCAAGTGCTACTACAACGACTACAAGTGGGTGACCGCGCGCGCGCGCACCGGAGCACGCGGCTCGCTGCAAAACGCTGCAGATGACGTGGCCGCGGGGATGGTTAAATTGTGCTGCGTTGGTGCCTTTTGCCCTGAGAAGGGATGTTGACATGTTGACTCAGACATGATGACATGATGTCAACAAGGGATTGTGTTGACATGACAACATTTCGATGCTAACACAATGCGTTATGTGAACACACTGTATCAGTATGGCGGTAGGGGCGCTGGCATGTCACAATAATTTCTGAGCATATCTTAGATCATGTGGGAGTCTTTGCCCTTGGCAGCGTGAGGTATAGCGTTCGTGTTGTTTGCTATTTCCGACAATGCCCTGCCATGTTCATGTAATGCCTGGATGTCATATACATTACTTATAAGTAGTGAGCTGTCACATTGTGCTCGGTTCGCTGGCTCGCACTGCGGAAGTGGTCCTGCGGTGCTAGCCTTTCCAGTCCACTGAACAGACACCACCGGCGCTGATCCCTACTGTTGGTCACGTGCGGCAGGGGCTCACAGCTGCCCGAGTCGGCGTACCAGCTGCAGCTGCTGGGACTGAACCTGCTGGCGCTGCTGGCGCAGAACCGCGTGGGCGAGTTTCACACGGAGCTGGAACTGCTGCCGTCAGACGCCATCCACAACAACGTGTACATCAAGTACCCCGTGGCCCTGGAGCAGTACCTCATGGAGGGCAGCTATAACAAGGTACCACCGATGCCGTGAGCTCAGGCGGTGGCGGGACGGGATGAGACCAAAGCGTGCCCGCGGGTGCATGACGGCCTCTGTTGTGGAATGATTAATATGTGTCCATGGCTGCTGTTGTAGAGTGATAAATATGCTCTCATGGCCACCGCTGTTTTAGAATGATTGATGGGTTGCCATGCCTGTCACAATCATAAAAAGATAGATCCTTACCCTCCGTCCGCTGCGAATGTCATGCTGATTCCCCACTACACATATGCTGAGATAGATGAGATGGTATCGATGTGACAGTTCGTTGGCATATATTGTAACCAGGACACTGCGGTGTTAAGCCTCTGTCTCGCTGCGTACCGATGTGTGGCTCTGTTGTGACGTTCCGCCTGACTTTCCTTAATGGCGTGAAAACTCACTCCCACGACATCACAACGCGTCGGCCCACGCGTGCGCGAGGCCGGCACCCCGCCCAAATCACCGACCGCTGGCCGCGCGCGCCGCAGATCTTCCTGGCCAAGAGCAGCGTGCCCGCCTTCCACTACCGCTTCTTCGTGGAGCTGCTGCTGGAGACGATCCGGGAGGAGATCGGCGCCTGCATGGAGAAGGCGTACGAGCGCATGACGGCCGGCGAGGTGGTGCGCATGCTCGGCCTCTCCAGCAAGGCCGAGCTGCCCGTCTTCGTCACCAAGGTGAGACCCGCTGGGCAGACGGCCATCGTCGCCGGCCGCTGTCTGGCGACCACCCGAAGGCGCATACAAATGTGGCGGCGATGGCTCGGCTTTGGAAGGCCGCGCGCTTGGCAGAGTGGGCGAGATATAGGATATTACGCGCCCATTTGATGTGTGAGCGTTGCATCCCGCTTGCATTTGAGGCATCGCTATCGACGCGGTTATTCTCACGCTCGCCATGCCTCCGCGGGGACACGCGATGCGACAAATTACCGGTGATGACGCGCCCAGATGCATTTTGAGTTCAATTCCGTTAGCTTAGCCTTCATTGTGCCCGTGACAGCGAGTACATGACTGGTTACTTATACACGACTTATAATTACTTTGATTGGTGCTTGGTGCGCCGCTTTAACGCGTTGCTGTTGGTTGCGGTGATGCAGCGAGTGCGCCGTCAGTCCGTGCTTCTCTGAACCCGCTACGTGCCCCTGTGGCCCCAATACTGCGCCCCTGTGACCCAACCCCCAACCACGTACCCCTCTGACCCCACTACGCACGTGCGCAGCGCGGCTGGTCGACGGACAGCAGCGGCTACGTGGTGTTCCCGCGTGAGAAGAAAATCAGCCACGAGGAGGGCGTGGCCTCGCTCGAGCTGACCGAACAGACCATCGAGTACGCCCGCGAGCTGGAGATGATCGTATGATGGGGCGGCGAGCCCGCCCCACCCGCGGACTTGGTGACCAGCCGGCCGGTCGGCGGGCTCGGCGGGCTCGGCCGGCCACTCAGCGCCGACGCCGGCGCCGGCACCACCGGCGCGCCGGTGGCGCGGCTCCGGACCTCTCCCAGTGGCGCCAGGGTGCGCGTGGGACCGATTGTCGCCGGTTTGTGTCGCGACCGATGATGGTGCTTCGTGCTGAGCGCCGGTCGCGAAATACATGCTTAGTTCTGTTCGTATATCTGTATTTGGTAGACATGGCTGTCTTTCGCGGATCTCGCGGCTGCAAAGTCACCGCAAGAAGCGAACATATCGGTCGTCGAGATGTATGAGAAGGGCCGCAATCGGCGGTTCTTAGCCGGCGGTGCTTTGTTATCCACCGGCAGCACGTCCCTGCGCACTGTCACCTGCTGCGGCGCTCTCCGCCCGGCTCAGCGGCCACCGCAACCACAGGGCCCGGCTCCGCCAGCCCTGCTACCGAGCACCTCCTGTGACGTCACTCAAACAACCGTGACGTCACAGACCAGCGTCACGCAGCGGCGGCGGCCGCGCCTAGAGTGGCTTATAGTCGAGCTTGCTCTCCAGCTTCTTGTTGTCGGCCACCTTCCTGACGGCCTTCATGAAGTCCTCGTCGACGACGTACTCGCGGTCGGCACGGATGGCGAACAGCCCGGCCTCCGTGCACACGTTACGCAGGTCGGCGCCGTTGAAACCGTCGGACAGCTTCACCACCGCCTCGTAGTCTGCCGGCGGACGGGCGGCGTGAGACGGGGCGTGCAACGCAGACAGCGGTATGCGGAGTAGAGCACACGGGCGCTCTGAGTAGGCGTGCGGTCGTGTCACACCGGCAGCGGGAGAAGCACTGGTCGATGGGCTAAGGCTTTCTAAGCCATTGGCGGCGCTGGTAGTGCACAATGGATCATCATCAATGGCCATAGCCGTGATAGTGGGCCACGAGGCAGTACGGTCACCAAAAACTGAAACACACTCAGCCAGAACTACAGAGGCAAAAACACGGGGTGCTGGTCTGGGCACCAGACCGGCGCTGCCCTTGATGCTGTCGTGTCACGGACAGCCCCCCCCCTTCAGCTCGCACCGCGCGGGGGCGGCCGGGGCGCCAGACTGACTGACTGACTGACTGACTGACTGACTGACTCAGACTGGCTGACTGACTGACTCAGACTGGCTGACTGACTGACTCAGACTGACTCAGACTGACTGACTGACCGATGTCGCCGTGTTTGGTGATGGGGCCGGCGTGGATCTTGAGGATGTCGAGGCGCGCCTGCTCGTTGGGCAGCGGGATCTCGATCTTGCGGTCCAGCCGGCCGGGCCGCAGCAGCGCCGGATCCAGCGTGTCCGGCCGGTTCGTCGCCATGATGATCTTCACCTGGGGACCCGGGCGGGGCGCCAGCGTCAGGGTCCGTTCGGCTATCTCCTCGGCGACAGAGTGCACTGGGTGTTCATTTATCAGGCGCTGTCGCCATTCAGCCTGTCTTCATAGTCTCGCAGACACAGAGGAGCCGACCACACCCTAAGTCACACACCAACTCTCGACGCGGGTTATCCCGATGGCGATGATTTGGGCTCAAGGGCGCGCCGACTAACCTGGTCATAAGGCGCCCATACATACAGGGTATCCCGTGTCGGGGTATCCCGAGAACCTGAGGGCTGCGAGCTCCCGCCTGGTGTCAGAGCTGAAAGGTACCCGTGCCAGATAACCGTCGTTCGGGTCAGATTCCCGCACGGTCCAGTGATGACGCACTCCAACCACTGGCCCTTGGCTGGGCGGGCGGACGCGGCGCAGCACCACGCCACGCCGGGCGGCAGGCTCTCACGCGAAATAGACGCCAGCCTCAGCCCGCTACCCCGCCCGCCCCGGCACGTCCGCCGCCTAGCGCGGTTACCTGTCCCAGCGAGTCGAAGCCGTCCATCTGGTTGAGCAGCTCCATCAGGGTGCGCTGGATCTCCCTGTCCGCGGACGTGCCCTCGGAGAACCTGGCGGCCCACGCGGCGCCGGTCAGCCTCGGCTGCCAGCCGGGGTGGCACCACCAGGTGTCGGCCGCCGCACCGGCCGACACGCGTTCCCACAACGGCTACCCTCCTGACGTGCTCTTTCCCAGCTCAGAGCTGGAGGTCTCGTTGGCGTTTCACCGCTTGGGAACAGCTGGATATCGAAATGTCAGGTAGGCTGATCTTCATTTTAACTACATTTCCTGGAATATCCGATGTTTCCTTGCCGTCTCTCTTGACACTATATATAAGGCGTCTTTTAAGCCCGCCGGGTGCCAGGACACGGGTATATCGCTGAGCAGTGGCCCGCGAGTCAGCACCAGCCCCGGCCAGAGCCGCGGCCACCCACCTCCGGCCGCCGATGGCGTCGATCTCGTCCATGAAGATGATGCACGGCTGGTGGTCCTTGGCGTAGTTGAACATCTCTCGGATCAGTCGGGCCGACTCGCCGATGTACTTGTCGACGATGGCGCTCGACACCACCTAGCGGCGGGAGGGCGAACCAGGGGCGTTAGCTGGCGCCCAACAGGACATTCGCTGCTTCATATGCATGGCCAAGCCGCATAACTGAAAAAGGCCTGCACTGCCTTGTGGTGCGAATCAAAGCACACGACATTGCAAATGCCCCATCTATGCAGACGTTTACCCAACGTAAATCCCTATGCCGGTTAAAATACATGCTAGAAAAGTGGTAAACTGTTGCAGCGCGCACAACTCCCCGCACGTACCACAAATTCAACGATAAATGTCGCCATAGTAGCTCTGAGCTTTCCGCGCGGATGATACACATTGCAAAACGCAGTCTTAGATCACCGTGTCCGTGATTAAGACCGGACAGTCCGAGCCTCCGCGTGCCACCGTAGATGCACGGCACGCTACTTTTGCGTGTTCTCACGGAGCTCTAACGAGGCTGGATGACCCGCTCACTCACGCCACTAGCGCGATGTATTGTGTGTCAATATCATTAGCAATTCTCCCATCAATCATAACAAATGCACTTCTGATCCAGGCGACCAAGTACGCATAATTCGCCACCGAATGAGCCGTCCCGCGGGCGCTCAAGAGCACCACACCGCTCCAGCCGCTTTAGCCGAGCCCCCGCCCCCCGCCCACCCTCGAAATGAGCCGGAGGAGCCGAGCGCCGCTGCGTGATGGCGACACCCGGCCGGGACAGGACAAACGGGCCCCGACCCGGCCCCAGAGACGGACCACCACCGACGGCGTCGGCCAGTACGGCCGTGCTCCAACTCGGCATGAGTCGGACCACCGCCCCAACCGGTCACACGTCATCAGGGCGAGCGCGTTAGACAGCCGCTAAGACGGCCGGCGGGGATGCTGACGCCGTAACCCGGCCCGTCACGTCCGAAACATCCCCGCGCGCTCGCGTGTTCGTGGAACAGCCACCGCCCACATGATAACGGGACCGGACTGAGGACGACATGTCCGGGCCGGCGTTCGGGCGGCCCAATTCGCAGTGGAAGTGCGGTGTTAAACACGCCAATCTGGACCATCCAGCGTCGTCGAATGTCGAGGACAGTTTTCGTCGCCCCATGAACCAGACACAAGTTGGCACAGGGCACGAAGCTGATGCCTTCGGAACGCTCGCATGGTCGGTTGCCCTGCAAGGCTCGATAGCTCATCCCAATACATGACGAAATATTGCATTTGTTCGAAACATTGGGTTTGTTCTCTACTAAAGGCAACATCTAAAATACGGGTTCCCCTAATTCATCCCGAAAATGTACAATGATACCAAGCATCGTCTGAGAAAGGCGTCACCATAGGCTGTATGCTATAGGGTTTCGATCTAATGGAGGAGCCAAACCAACCTGGTCGCAAGGCACGCCTGAGACACGGACGAGTGAACGGCGGCGGGGCGGAACGGGGCGGGGCGGCGGGCCCACCTTGAGGAAGTTGGCGTCCAGCTGGGCAGCCACGGCGCGCGCCAGCAGCGTCTTGCCGGTGCCGGGCGGCCCGTACAGCAGGCAGCCCTTGGGTGGCGTGATACCCACCCGGATGAAGAGCTCCGGGTTCATCAGAGGCAGCTCGATCACCTGGCGGCAGCGGCGCGCACCGACGGTCAGCAGTTAGCAACCAGTCAGCAGTCAGCGGTCGGTAGCCAGTCAGCAGTCAGCAGTCAGCAGTCAGCGATCGGTCAGCAGCCGGTCAGGGGCCGGCTGGTCCGGGGAAAGGCTGTTCTGACGTATTTAACTCGACTTTACAGCACAGAAAGACAAGAACACGGCTAACAGATCGATTAAACGTAGCGACAGCATCGTCGGTATGCCAGAGCCTGCACGTCGTCCATTCTCATATCCTCACACGAAGACCAAGGTTTGCAGTTCTAAACGTGCGAAAACAGCAGTAATCAGCCACGCAGCGCGGCACCGAAACACGCGCACGTTTACGCATCGCGGATCTCCCTGATACAGTACGCTGAGGAGCGGCCTTCCATGCGGGCGCGGCCCGACCGACCAGCCAGCTCTCGGCCCGGATCAGGGAACGCACCTCTCTCAGCTCGCGGATCTGTTCACCCAGCCCGCCGACGCTGGAGTAGGTGACGTCGCCGGGGTCCTCGTGCGACATGTTGTACACCATGGGGTCGACCTCGCGCGGCAGGTAGCGCATGATGGTCAGCGTGGTCATGTCGAGCGCCACGCGCGTGCCCGACTTCAGCTTGGTCTTGTCCAGCTGGCGCCGGCAGCCGACCACGTACCGCGGCCCGTTGGTGGCCTTCACGATAACTGCCGGCCGCAAATGCAAAAACCCGGTTGGAAAACGACGCCAGGAATCCCACTCAAATGAAATAAACGGCATTCCATCTCACCATACGCTCAGAGGGCATCCTGGTGATCACCAACGAGATCTGGGAACACGGCACGGAGCCAGCCGGGCAGCTACCATCATTGATTACGACCAACACAAACTTGCTCCCAGCATAAGGCTGCATTATTTCCGACCAGTCCAATTATGTTACAGGAGCACATCAGCGACATGTTCCGTCTGCTTGCTCCCGCCGTGCTCCGCGGGCGCCGTGACGGATCGGTCGGCGCGCGCCGTGGGGCCCGGCTCACATTTGTCCTCGGTCAGCTGCTTCAACACCTCGCCCACGATCTGGCCCACGCTCTGCAGCGCCTTGAGGTCGTTCTCTGACTTGTCGTACTCCTTGGTCAGCTCCTTTAGCTGCTCACGCACTGCAGTCACACACCAACGGGTCAGAGTGACGTCACACTTACACTACCCCCGTCAGCGTGACGTCACTCTTCTCACAACACACTCCCGCCGGCTGAAAAAAATAGCGAACCCGGCCAGTGGGATGCCCCGCCCTTGTTCCTCCGGCTCGTGTTACGTCACGACGGCTGCTGCAAAATACTACGACACGGCTATTGCAAAATGCTACGACACAGCTGCACGACAGCGTTGCCTCGGCAAGATCTCCGCGGTTAATAGACTTCCGTATCGCGATGGCTAGAGTAATACGTACTCTCTTTCAAGCGACCTTCCACCTCTCTGTGTTCCATTAGCTTCTTCCTGTAGTCCTGTAGGGCCTTCTCTCTGGCTGGGTCTGCAGCCATGTTTTCTGTCTGAGTGAGCCTTTTTCAGTTCTATATGCACCTAAAACAGACGCAACGATGAAAGTTATCCACGCAAAATTAGTCAGCAAGCATAACCATACTGCATATCCCAACTACGTAAATTTGCAAAGCATAACACATAAAACCCACACACAAATAGGTGAGGCATATGGCCACTGAATGACTTACATGCGAACGCCGCAGTTGGAAAAGTGAAGGCATGCTATCATTAGAATGACCGTCCATCCGTCAGTTTCTGACTGCTAAGAATGGTCATACTGTGGGCTGCTGCTTCAGGACCGGATATCCCGTCACTACACCAGTGTCGGACAAGGCCTGGTACCTCACAGTGGATCAGCAGGCCGCGGGTACAATGTGACGAGTATAGTGGCAGTGAACAGTATTCACAGCCATTTTGAAGGCCTGATTTTGAATTTTGAAGGTTTAGATACTGTGGACTGGATCCATCCATCAATGTGCAGTCGAGTATGTATCGTTGGTGATAGGTCTCGAAACCGGCGGCTACACCACATTCTCGTGTAGCCGTCGGTTTCACCAGATTCTGGTGTATGGACTAATGGAGTTTATGCAGATCAGGTAAACATTTTTTTCTCTTTCTGAAAATGGATTCCCACCAACCAAGTGGGTGAAAGCCGAGTCAAAGCACATGCAGCCCCCGACATCGCCAGACACCTCTGGTTGCTGTGTATAGGGACTGAGAGCCTCTGAGCACGGTCCATAACGGCCATCAGCCTGCTTTCCATGGTGACCAGGTCCTGAATGCATGAAGGTGTCCGCAATCATGACAGATTTTCTACAGCAATATTAATAAATTTGCAGTGCACAGCCTGCATTCCTCTTTTTGCTTTTCACGGGAATGCGACACATGCCATCAAACAACTGCGGTTGTTTTCAAGCTGACCAGCCATTGATCAGCTATTGCTAGGAATGGCCAGCTTTCCATGGGGATGGGGAAGAGACTGTTGGAAAAGACATGCCCTGGGCCCAGGGATCCAACTGTTGATCTGGGATGCATTTATCCACCCTATTTACCATCCAGCCACTATTATAGGCTCCACATGAGCCTAACTGATTACAGTGGTTTTTTATCATAAATTGTACTTGAATGCTTCACAAGTGCACCCCACATCTCAAACCCAAGTTCTAACTTCTTGGTCATGGTACTTGTGCTGTTCAATGTACATTTGTCACGCTGGAATGGTCAAATAGAATATGTAACTGGTCTGTTAACCCAAATTCACCATCTCAATGATAACAGAGATTCTGGAGAAGAGGTCATTGCATGACAGAGCTGTCATAAATACATGACCCTCTAAAATGAATAGCCTTCTCAATGTTGCACCATTGGAAGGGCTTAGAACAATTCCCCAGCATCTGCCTGGCCTTAGGGCATTAAGGATGGTCTTGGGAGATCAGCATTGGTCTTAAGATCTTGCCATACTTCCAAATTGATTCTTATTTATTGAAGAAAGATGGGGAATGCATATTCCATGCCCAAAAGTCAGACAAACTATGACATCCAGTATCAATAATTATAACCCAGCAATCATGGCCTACTTTGCGTGTGTGTCATTGGGGCTTCATAACACACTCAGCTGCTGAGGCTATATGATTTTGTCTCCTCTCACCTTGGTAGGATGGGTGGGCACCAGGGAAATCAAAACCTGAACTGCTGGTTTCCCAGACATGCAATGGTTACTGCAGACAAATCAACCAATACACTACCACCACCCCTATGACATACTTTCATTAAAGGAAGGTGTGTTTCACTGAGATGTATTCCATTCATGAGACCAAGCAGCACACAACTATCACAATGTATGGAACTAGGCAGAAACAGCTAGCTGTAACCAACCTTGGTATGCCAATGGCTGTGTTCACTGGCAATATAAGCACTCAGGGGCCACTATGCTGCCATTTTTTAGTTAGACACCCCATGCAAGAGACAAGGGTGTTAACCATGTTACAATGATGCACCTATACTGTGCCTAGTTCACAGTTCAAATAAATTCAGTGACAGGCATTGTGCCCAAGCCCCGCAGACTAACAGACATACAAGCCATCAGGATCTCTCCCTGATTCATCAAGCTTTTGGCCAATTGACCAGTATGTTGCAATACCAATGCTACAGAGTGCCTTGTCAGTGAACAGGTGCATGTCCCATGGTTTTGTCCCCAATCCTGTTGAATGAGCAACATGCATTTTCTGCCACCCATCAATCAGAACTTCTTTGATTTGCATGACCAGCCTCATGATAGCTAAAATGCATAGTGAGTGTTCTGGCATTTTTGCAACAGTTCCCCTCTGGTTCCCTTGGATCCAAGTGAGCTTAGCTAAAGTTGACCATGCAGTCCCGATTTAGACCCTTTTATTGTTCTCTGTGAACCTTCAGTGGTGTCAGAGCTATCTGTAGGATCATATCCAGTGAGACCTGCAGCGAGACCTCTCCCACAGCAAGGTTTGCCTGCTTTCAGATTAATCACTAACTCTTTTAGAGGTTACAGAGATCCAACGTCCCTCGACAACTTCTATCTCTACATCGGCATGTAAATTAAACAAAATATTGACCATTTACTGTCCACCTGATACCAGGCTGCTAGTGACTAGCAAGGTGCAACACATTAGATTTTGTGATAAGAAATGATAGGTATAATTTGAGGAAAATGCAACTTGATTTACATAAAATGCAGTGCATCCTAGTTAAGCAAAGGTTTCATGTTTTATGATCACCATCTCTCCAGGCATCACAATCTCTAAGCATCATAGAGGTTAGTGAGAAATAGACATTGGGCCAATGATCAATATTACCTATGTCCATAGCTTGTTGCAAAGGTATGGGCTGACACTATTACAAGATGAAGCCATGTCCAGCAAAGTCAGCTCAAGAAAGTGCTAACTATTGGTAAAGAAATTGGCATTATTAGCAGTAATGTCTTGCACCAATGTTTTCAGGAGCAGTAGTTTGTTCAAACTACAATACACTGATGGCACAGCATACACAAATCACAAATCACAATACATATGCACAACACAAGTTGCAATGCACATGTTCAATATGGTAGAGACATAACAATGCCAGTGCATGCACACTACAGAGCCCAGCACTCAATAGCTTGGTGCACAATTGTCAGCAATTTAAGCTGACACAGCAATAATCTTTTCTTGCCTTATAATGTCCCAAGGTCAATTTCAGGGAACATACTAACAAAACATTATCAGAAACAAACATAGTTTGATAATTTTGCTCAGCTTAAGTGCTAAAGTTACATTCAGCATGCCACTGCAACATAGGGGTCTGGCACACTGGATGTAATTTTAGCAGCTTAGCATGCATGTGCTAGATTCTGAAATTCAATGTCACTTGAACACCATGTGCAATGGATGGAATCATTGCAGGCTGGCCTAAAGCAGAATGGGGCCAGCTTATCATGTTTATCTGCACACAACTTAAGGGAGAATATCAAGCATATTTACTGCTCAGGATACAAACAACTGGTTTAAATTATTGCACTGCATTTCAGCCACGAAAAACCAAGGTCCATTCAACTTGGGGACTCCTTTCTCATTGAGATGACCCACAGCATTGACAAGTTCTAAAAACATAAACAATAACATACTTATTAGTAGCCTGCACATAAATCCCAACGGGCAAACACGTGATTATACCTGTTAAAAGACCAAGCGACTTGCGATGCATACAAGCGCCTAATTGCTGAAGCACTTACTTTGTAAAAGGTTAGACAACGAAACACCGGCGTCCCCAACGAGGATACTCCTACTTCTGATACTACAATGAAGAACACTCACTTGCTCCTCCTTGCGCCATAATTGTCTTTTAACCGCGTCAGATATGGAAGCTCTTTGATCCGCTAAGAATGGCGCTGCAGCTACATTTAGAAATCTTGTCAGAACTCGAAATAATCATGGAATAGTACCTGGGGCGCTGGGTGTATCCTGTGGAGGGGTAGGCTGTTGAGGAGTAGCAACACCGAATATTCTTGCATAATAGAAAATGCATGCCTATAGTTTATGCAACCAGTATCGGTAGACTGCGATGTTGTGCACAAATCCATTTTCAAAATACGTAAGACTAACAAATAAATAATTGCAGTAAAACAATTCGATCCATGGAGGATAATGAATGAAATATATGCCAACACAATCCGTTCTTCACACAGCAATTAAAATTAGGAACATCCAGTATGTGCTGGTCATCTATTGGAAGTGGTGTCATGTGTTGGATGCCCGAAAGGGTACATTTGTGCATGCCATGCAATGCACAAATCTCAGTAATTGTCATCTCATCTCAGTAATTGTCAAATTTGACAATGCCAGTGTCATATGACTTTAATGTTGTCTTCATTGTTTGGACTTAAGCCTTGACCCTTGGTCCTGCTTTAGTTTTGTCTGAAACAAAAAATAAGTCAAGTTTTGTGTGGTCTGGGCAGGTACCAGTATATATCAGAGGGTGCCAGTTCTTTGCTATGTAGGTACCTTGTGTCACACCATTTTTGGGTATGATTAGGTTATCACTTTTCAGGGAAGCACAGCAAACAGGGCTGAGAAATCCAGTAAGTTGATCGATGGTACTTAACCAATGGGTGACCCGCCCAGGTGTCATTTGGAGCAAAACCACACACACGAAACCACATACAAAACCACATACACAGCAAAACAGTTAGTCACAGTTATGAACTAGGGCACAGCAAGTTTAATAACAAGTTGTCAGGGGGTTTGAATATACAGTTTTAAGTAAAAAAATACTGAGATAACGGAACAGACAAGCCAACAAGGGTGGTGTAGATGGCGAGGGTGGAGGAACTAATGTTTGCAAGTGTTGGCATGTGTAGAGAACAGTGTTTGCCTTATTGAAATATATGCACTTTTGCTATCTTTAATGGTCCATTTGCTATGAGCTCACAACAAGTTTAGCAGGAAAGATTTAGAGCAACAATGTGCATTTTGATGCACAACAGTAAGCCTTGATATATTATGTGTGTTAAGTCAGTCAACAGTAATGATAATCTAAGCTGACTGGCAGCAGTAATTTCAGTCATCAGCCAGTCACCATTAACTGAGAGTGCATTGTGGACCAGCAATTGCCAGAAGGTGATATTTGTTATGAAAACAATACACACTATGTGTAGCTTCAATTCATTTATGCTGCCCATGTTTTGACAGCACAGCTACCACCTGGTCTGTAGAGACCCTGATGATCAGTCAGATAAGGTACCCTAGTTGGTTGCTCTCATCAGCCTCATACATTTTGTTGCAGATAGACTAGTAGTTTGTTCAACAGTTACCAGTGATGTTTACAAATGATTTAGTGTTGTGTTTATGTTTTTGACAAGATCATCCAATATTTCCTGCTGTAAAGCATCTGGTCTGTATGTTAGCTCCTCTCTGATGTGCTAAGCCTGCATGTACACTGACTGGCATTTACACTTGGTGCATCTTGTTTGTTGCAGGACCTGTGCGCCACTTACTTGACATTGGTTTAGTCTCCAGTGATGTTCCTTCCCGAGCTCGATATTTTCGTGGGCAATGTTTTCATTATTGACTGGGAGATCTTCAAGCTGTGGCTGGATGGACACTGAGTGTAAGTTTTTATCGAGTATAAGTGTTTATCGGGGGATGATGATGAGCCCTCGCCATCTCCTGGCACTTTTCCACGTTCGTCGGCATGCGTCTTTCCGTCGATCCCACGCCCTGCATGGAATCGTCAATACAAAGCGCAAAGGCACGTACACTATGGGTAGCAGCATTGTAGGGGTTCTGCGTCATCCGCTGTGCCGGTATTGCGCGGGGTCTGGCGAAAATGAGTAATTCATTTGTTTGCAAAATAGTCTGGGGGACAATTATGGCCCTAATGAATTACATCTCCTTCACAATTATAAAATGGTCATCCAGTTGTGTTGGACTGCCTTGCCATGTGCCTGTATGTATCCACCTAAACTCCCCATCTGACCTTTGTTTTATCATTTCCACCTCAGGTCACCCGACCTTCCCTCCTTTGTTCCACCTCACGTCATCCCTTGGAATTACCATGCCATCTCCCTGTCAGACCATTTATCTGACCTTTCCTCATAGTCCCTTGAGGCGCCCTGCTAGCTTCCTGCGCTATCTCTGTCCCAGGTCACCTGCCCTGACCTCCCCTGCCGTCTCGTCCCAGGTCACAGCGCCGTGAGCCTGCTCCAGCAGCGGGGCACCTTGTTGGCCGGCGCCACGCTCGACATGCTGCACGGCGACGTGATGGACCACTACCGCAGCTTCAGCACGCTGGAGCGGCTGCTGGAGGTGCCCACGCTGTTCGTGGAGCAGCGCGTGCTGCAGATCAGCCCCAACGACCAGATGGACATCATCGAGAAGTGAGCGGACTGGGCTGGGACACCCTGCGGGCCTCGGCGCGGCGCCGCCCTCGTAGCTCGTCAGACATGTGATAATGCAGTGTAAGGTTATTGATTGTTAGGTAGATCGTCGCTGCTTGTCATTGGCGAGACAAGATGTTGATATCACCCCGCCGTGGCGTGATTATCGACGGCCTTGCCGACCAGAAGCCATCGCATACAAATTTCAGTGCGGTGTGCGCTGCAAGAATGTGGACTGCAGGACTGCATGGTTTATCTCCTCAGTCGTTTGCTGGCGTACGCAGCGCTGTCACCAGTTTGAGTCGGTGGCACGATCGATCACACCATGGTGGTTTGGCCGAGCTTGAGGGATGCCCCCATTGCGGCGCTCCCTAATCCTGTAGCAATTCCGTGTGTGCCGTAAACTGCAGTCCGATGCCGCGGTCGCGCGCCTTATCTCGCCGCGCATAAAACTAATGGCTGTCGAACACACCGACTAAATTCTGACCGAATTGCACTTTAAGCTAGTCTCCCAATCTTTCGGTCGTGCTTAAATCTCCCTGGAGCCACTTAACTTGGATTCAGTGGGAGCTGAGGCTCGTCCAGAACAGGCGTTCAGAATTTTGCACGTTTTATGACGCGTTTACTTCATCAGGATACTCGCCTTGACGATTCAGTGGGCTGTTCGGCTCGCGCCTTAAACCGCTAACAGCTTTCAGCCAGCTTATCGCGGTGCGCCATGGCTTCTTGTCGTTTCATGTCTCGCCCATCTTGATGTTGGATGGTTCGTGCTTCACCGTAGCAAGATGTTTTTGGTGCCCACTGACTCGGCTTGGATGGCGGAGTGTTTGCAGCTTCCAGTTGCGTGGTGTGAAGGCCAAAAGCAGTCTGACATGTGCTGTTGACGAAGCAGAAGGGGTAGCTAGCGCCTAGCGTAAGGAAATCACGGCATATTTTGTATATAAAAATGGGATGCATCCTAGTACCTAGGACTGCGGCACACAGGCATGGGACACGTAAGCGCATGTCCCGGCGGTGGCATGGACAGCCAAGTTTTGATGCTTGCTTCAAAACAAGCCCATTGCTAGCTGTTATTCCTTGTTATTACACTTAATTTTTGTTTCGTTACTTATTTCCGGAGGTAATGATACTCCGATGTGCATTCCGAAGGAAGTGTGTTTGTGTTCTGTGCTAGGTTCGCCTATGGTAGGGCGTGCGAGTACTGTATTAACAAACGCGGAAGACAAGGCCACCAAACTCGACGCATTACCTCGAGAACGATAATCATGGTTTGCAATCCTGGTTCAGTTACGTGAGGAGTAGCAGCGTACACTGTTCTCTCCCCGACGACGGCTGGGCTGCGGTGAACTCTTGCCACCGATGGGTTGAGTGCCCGTGCGTCCCCGAGCTCGCTAATCGCCACGCTCCATCCGAGCCGGGACTGCAGGGTCACGTGCGCTGTGTCGCCAGGTACTACGATTTTGACGACGCCGTGATGCGGGAGCTCATCGGCAAGAAGCCCTCCTCCAAGCTGCGCAAGGAGCTGGACGACGTGTGCGACAAGACGGGCGTGCTCGTGCGCTCCTGTCGGTCAGTGGAGCCGACGTCCGGCCTCCCGTCCGCGGCTGGACCGGACCGGGCTCGGGGAGACCCTGCCCACGCTGGGATCTGGCCGGGATCAGTCGCCTTTCGGCGCCGTCAGCGGGCGGAATTTGAGTGGCCTTTGGATAGTCACTGGCTGTGTGTGGGGGTTTTAGTAAGTCATTTGCTTCGTGGTCCAAAGACACTGCCCTTATAAATGAAAGCACCGTCGCGCACTTCGCTGCCCTCACATGATTCGCGTTTGTGTGGAAGCATTGGATACCTGGGAGAAAAATTTTTGACGAAAGGAGTGCCAGTACTATTTCCTATTGTGGGTTTATTTTGCATGTTGTTTCTAACGTGTGATTTTAAATCGATTTTGAAGATGTGCCGTCACATTTCGCTTAATGGAGGTCTCCGGCTTCTCGTCTGCATGCTCTCACGCCTAAGATAAACAAAACATGTATTGCGGTATAATGCGGTAGTGTCGTCAAGCAGTAACCTTATCAGCACAGCATGTAGCGGTGGAAAGGTGGCGCTCTATGTTATGGCCCAAGCCCATCCAGTTTATTTCAGTTTCCCTCGCACACGAAGTCAGTGTGAGCCCGTGCCGTCCTCTTCACCCCCACGTGTTCACATCACGGTGCCGCCCCCGCCCGCAGCACACCTGCCGACTTTTAAGTCACAGCACTCCGCTTATTTGCTTGTGGAATGAAATACGGCGCGTGACATCTGCCGCGGGTTCACAAAGGTCACCTCCCGTGCGGCGGCCGGCCAGTCACCTGTGACCTTTGATGTCCGCTCCGAAAATGGCCCCACGAGCCTGCACAGAAGCCGCTCGGCCGTCGCCGGGCGTTACGTTTGATCGGTGGCCGACGCGTTGATCCGCTGCTATCCGGCGGGGTGGCCGCGCGCCCACTGAGTCCATGGCCCGCCCTCCGCAGGCGGCAGTTCGACAACGTGCGCCGCATCTACAAGCAGGTGGACGAGATGACCGGCAACGTGCTGGACAACATCCGCCAGCAGTTCCTGCTGCCCGACCCCCTGGCCCGGTCAGCGACGGGACGGGGGCGGGGACGGGCACGGGCACGGGCACGGGCACGGGCACGGGCACGGGCACGGGCACGGGAACGGGAACGGGGACGGGGACGGGGACGGGGACGGGGACGGGGACGGGAACGGGACGGGAACGGGAACGGGAACGGGAACGGGAACGGGAACGGGAATGAGAACGGGAACGGAGACGGGGACGGGGCGGGGAAGGAAACGGGGACGGATCTGGATCCGAATCCGGACACGGACCCGGGACCGGGTGACGTATTGGTAGCTGGGGTCGGCTGTCGTCGGGCAAGAGATGACTGCGGGTTTCCTCCCGTCTGGCGTCTGAAGGCCTGGCGGCAGTGCCAGTTGATATTGTGACATCTAGCATGCGGCTGAGTGGGAGGACGTTCGCTGTGATTGAGTGGTTCGGCTGAATTTCATCGAAGCTGGCCGTCAATCCCGTTGTTGCGTAGGGAGCGCTGCAGCCACAGCTCCCGTCCGAATATGATTTCATGTTGGTCTGGACCATTTTCAGAGGTGATTTGTGACCCCTCCATCAGTTTTCGTCAAACCGTATTGACTAGCGTCTGTTGGGACTGTGATGCAACTGTGACTTATATCGACGAGTGGCAGCCAAGAAGTCCAATTTATCCACTCCGAGCAGTGTGAGCAGTGGAAAGTGTTAACAATACGGCCGGCACTATTTAGTATCACGCTGTGGTCGCTTGGAATTAATTTTAATTGTGCGGCACCGAAAAAATTTGCAACGAAAGTAAGCAGGCAAGCTCACGCTGACAAAACGGATAATTCACGCCAGCAAGCTCTTTTATGTGGCCGCTTTTATGTAACGTGAACGTTATATTTCCGACAACCACATGCTAATTGGATTGCAGGGTGTTACGTAAGTCGGCCTAGTGTTCATTCCATAGATACGTGGCGAGCTGTCTAGTCAGAGTCCGCCTGGCTTGGCACGGCGCAACTGTGGTGAACCGCTGCATTGGGTGACCCAGACATAGTGGTGTTTTCAGCAGTCCTATCCGTCCAAAGGGCACATGCTGGTGCTCCTATTTCGAATCATCCGGGGGAGCGAATGTATCATTATTTGTACAGATGGCCTCACAACCGCGTTGTTTCGATCCGGAGCCCGTGGAATCCAAGTCCGCCTAATGATGGACGTGTCCCTTCATCGACTGTTGGACGCTTCCATCGCAATAGCTCTAGCCGTATCTTACAACGGCTATCGCGGTCATGCTTGTCGCCGCGGATTTGCAATTCTTCAAGCGATCAAGCGAAAAAACTTATCCCGCGTTGCTCCCTTCTTGCAGACGATACGCGGCCATCTTGTTTTTGGACTGGGTCCGATTTGAGACGCACAAACGGAAGCTGGCGCACCTGACTTTCAACGACTTCTTCGTGTGCGCTGACGCCCTGCTGCGCCACTGGGCGGACGAAGAGTGCGAGCTCGACAAGGAGTTCTTCCAGGACCTGCGGGAGATCAAGGCCATGCTCGACAGGGAGAAGGAGGCTAAGGCGTACGTGCAGGCGCCCCTGACACGGGGCCACAGCTGGGAGCGCGTCCGTACATTGTGACACGATTCAGCAGTATCTGGAGAAGTTCATGTAAAAAGTCCAACGCTTTGGCACTTAAACGTCCTCGTTTAGTGATTTTCAGTGTATCGCAGGTGTTCCGGGCGCGCCTAGATGTGTGCTCCCGCCGCCCGAACTCAAAGCGAACTCAAAGGCCAGTTTCCTTAATGACGGGTCAGTGGCCAGGTCGGAAACACTGACGCGTTAACATCGGGTCCGTGGTCCCGGACGGCCTGTCAGCGGACTCGGAGACTCGACGGGTGGTTCCCGCTTGATTTCTTGCACAAGAACACGAGTCTGGCACTTATGAATCACCCCTCGCGCGCAGTGTTCCATAAATGACAGCGGCACCCACACGCCCTATCCGTACATGAACCTCAGATCGAAAAGCCCAAACGGCGTAGTTTGCCAATATTTGGTCTCAGAGTTCTGTTGTGAAGAGCTAGGCTCTAGAGCTAGCTCTTGGTCAGTCAGTGGTCCGTCAGTTGCTTGCTAAACCCGGGGTGCGTTTGACTGAAGATCGCGGTGCGTTGTCTTCGCCGGCTTTTCAAGTGAACTGTTTCCCGTACTGCCAACAGTAACAGCTGAATTATTACTGTCTTCCATCGCTTTTTTCTCATGTCGTCCAGTCTCACCTCCACAGGAATACTACCCCAATGGTACAAGATCATATCCTCAGCCTATCGTAAGGACTGCGCTGACCTGGAATGACTTTCATGGCGTTCTTAAACGATGATGCATTTGTCCACCTTTGAACATGATCTCTCGCAGCCACGTTCTGAAAATTAGGTGGCATCGACCCCAAAACGGAAGATTTCCCGGGATGAATTTCCCCGTCATTGGTACCAAACGACCTTCCTGATAATCTTCCAACATTTGGGATGATCATCCGGGATTGTCGCCCGGCCAAACGCGGCCCATAAACCATGACAGGCGGGTGACCAGAGCTGAAGCGGTGGCGCGCTGCAGTCTACACTAATTTCAGTAATGTCTCTGTGTCGGTGACCGGATCAAGAGGCCTGACGGAGCGGTGACCGGGCACGGAGGCCTGACGGGGCGGTGACCGGGCACGGAGGCCTGACGGGCGGTGCCCGGGCATGGAGGTCGGACGGGACGGTGACCGGGCACGGAGGCCTGACGGGGCGGTGACCGGGCACGGAGACCTAACCGGGTGGCGACCGGGCACGGGGGCCTGACGGGACGGTGACCGGACACGGGGCCTGACGGGACGGTGACCGGGCACGGAGGCCTGACGGGGCGGTGACCGGGCACGGAGGCCTGACGGGACGGTGACCGGCGTGGAGGCCTGACGGGCGATGACCGGGCACGGAGGCCTGACGGGGCGGTGACCGGGCACGGAGACCTAACCGGTGACCGGGCACGGGGCCTGACGGGACGGTGACCGGGCACGGAGGCCTGACGGGGCGGTGACCGGGCACGGAGGCCTGACGGGCGGTGACCGGCACGGAGGCCTGACGGGGCGGTGACCGGGCACGGAGGCCTGACGGGGCGGTGACCGGGCACGGAGGCCTGACGGGACGGTGACCGGGCACGGAGGCCTGACGGGACGGTGACCGGGCACGGAGGCCTGACGGGACGGTGACCGGGCACGGAGGCCTGACGGGCGGTGACCGGGCACGGAGGCCTGACGGGACGGTGACCGGGCACGGAGGCCTGACGGGACGGTGACCGGGCACGGAGGCCTGACGGGACGGTGACCGGCACGGAGGCGTGACCCGCCGTCCGCCCGGCAGTGTGACGCTGCGTAAGCTGGAGGGCGGCAGGCTGTCGACGGACGCTGCCGGCGACCTATCGCAGAACTTCCGCTGCCTGTTCCGCAGTCTGGTGAACATCGCCACCGGCCTGTACCGCAGCAGGGAGCTCAAGGACCTGTTTATCGGTGAGACCGGCGGACGGGCCGTGCTGCCCCACACGAGAGCTGTGTGGCGCTCTGTTGCACACCCTTCGGCGTGACCTCTTCACGCCCTGTGAATGTCGAGGGGCATGTAAGGAAACGCTGCGGTTTAATGATTTGCGAGTGAATTCGTTGGGTGCAACATTGAAATAAGGCTGGACCGTTGGATGGGAAAATGTGAAGGGCTTCATCTCTCAGTCGTCTACGCCGGGTGCCCAGATACGCCTTCTTGAGCTGCCAATGTTGGCTGCAGTTTGACTTCATATTAAGATGCCGTCATTAGTAGTTTTGACGCAGATGTGGCAGTTATTCTTTCACTCTGACTTCTTTGTGGTCGTTTATACAGTTGTGACTAATGGTGATGTATTTTGACATCTGTCACTGTCACGATGATGGCCGCGTCCATGACCACCCATTCTTCTCCGATTGACTCATGCATGGGGGGTTTCTGTGTAGCTTCTTCTGCTATCTTGACCATAATGCAAATATTTCATTTATTGATTCAACATCATTCAACCTGTTGAGAGCGTGTTCGACGGAGTTAGCAGCATGCCTAGCCACAGCGGTACGTGAACGATCGCTACTGTCCGCACTGTTGGACGTCCTTGCTACCGCGACGCTCCAAGTTGTCCCAATTTCTGGGTGCCATGAGACCTGAACACGCAACAGTTCACAGCCCTCTTCGTCTGTGACGTTACCTCGCTGAACCCTGCTGATGTATGTTTCGTAATCCCGTCACGAGCCGACCCGCCGCCGCTGCGACCGGCCGGAGCTGGCCGGCCGCTGCCGGCGGACGGCCGTGCCCCCGGCTGCCGGGTGCGAGACGCCCCCCCCCCCCACCCCCCCCCCTCCCCGACGGCTCCGCCGCCGCGCCGGATGATCTCCATCCAAATGTGTTGGCTCGAGGTGCCGCCGGCGCGGCCGGCCCGGTGACCGCTCGGCCCGCTCGTGTCACGCGTCGCGCCGTCGGGGACGCCGATCGGGCTGGATTTACGTCGCCTAATGGGCCGATTAACACGCGCCGTCTACCGCTGCGCGAATACAATCTGCATACGAAGACGCGCAGGGTACCACTGCCCGGTCGGCAACGGCGTCTCGGGCGCTTTCTGCTCGCGGAAGGGGAGCTCGCTGGAATAATTTTCCCACTACCGCGGGGCTTTTTGCGGCGCTGTTCTGATTTCCTTTGTGTTTGGGATTCTCTGTCCGCCGCTTCTCATCTCTGTCCGCCGCTTTCTGGGAAAACTTGCTTCGCATTTTGTTCCTTGTCATGCTCCCCGCACGTGACATTTATATCTTTGTTCCCTGTGCTCAACATGCACGCGCGATTACCGCAGTAGGATGGGAAGAGCCGCAGTCTTATGAGAAATCGTTTGTTAGCGCTAAGCCAGCCGACGGCTGTGTGACCTTTGCCAACCGCTGCAGACTTGCAAGAAAAGGTGGTGGAGCCGTGTAAGAGCGCGCGCTGGACACTGCAGGACATGGACGCCTTCCTGGCAGCCATCAACTTTGACGTCTCAGAAATCGACACTTTCAGAAGGTGAACAATGTCGTAGCTTAGAAGACATTTTCTTCGGTGCGTCGGGATCGAAGGATTTTCTGACTCGACGCGTGTTAGTGCAACGTCCTGTTCAGTCCTGATCGCTGAGTGGGTTAATGCTGAACTTTGTCACGCCCCCATTCGATACTTTACAACGATAACAGTGGTATTATTCCCACCTACCATCCAAAGAAAGGATCTGGCAGCGCCGTGGTGGCGCTACCCGCATGCTGCCACGGCGCCTTGCCAAGGGGAGGTGGAGCCGGCAGCGGCGCGGCGTCGCTGCCCGCGTGCTCACGGGCCGCCCCGCCGCAGGGAGACGGACCTGCCGATCCTGTGGCGTCGCTACCTGCGCGCAGTGGGCCCCTGCGTGCTGCAGCTGTTCGCCAGCTGACGACGGTCTGCTCGCGGCCGGCCGGGCGTCAGCTGACCTGCCCTGCGGGCGCCCGCTGGCGGCGGCGGCGCTGCGCTCCTCCTTCACCGGAGCCGACGGCCGACCGCGGCGCGGCCGCACCGGGCTAGCGGCGCCGCGTCCCCGGGCCCGGCGGTGCTCAGCGAGCGCGGTGACGAGCGCGGTTGCCGGTGGATGGCGTGCCTTGCAACTATCGACGGCGAGGCGCGCGGGAGACGGTGACCGTTTGACCGAGACGTCATCTGGGACGCACGGCGGCGGCCACCGATGCTCGTGCGGGACTTTAGAGCGCGCACGCGAAGGTTGTGGCACGGTCCTGGTTCATTCATAGCGCACACAACTTATGCATGACGTCAGGGATATTCGATGGGTAGTGTTAAGACAGAAACGCGGTTTGTGATTGTGAACCTTGCTGTTCCCAATTTTCCGTCGTCTTCGGAAACGTGCAATAACGGTTGTCGCGGGAGCGATGCATGAGAAACGCAGAAAGACCAGCGAATTTTGTTAAGGCGGTAGTATTCTAGTGTTACCATCACTGCATATTCGATGGCGTTGTGGAGATATTTGCATACGTTCAGAACCTCGCTAGGATGTGTTACGAATACACGATTTCCCCGCATTGGTTTGGTTGTGATTGGCGATGGGAAACAACTCGTGGGCACAGCGATGCCTTACACTAGCGTGTATACAGCATCGTTGGCCGTTCAATGCCAAATTTGAACTACTACGCTTTGACACTGTGCTGGTGGATTTACCTGGGCGATTTGAGACCCGACCTACGGTCAGTTGGCAGAAAATAGCGCGGAGTGGGTGTTGCAAGCATGTGTGGAGCAAGGTCTTTCTCACTGGTGCACACAAATTGCAGTCTGTAAAACAGTAAACATGATAACATGCCATCGAATATATCACCAACTGAATCCTGGAAGGATGCTAAGCATTTTCAGCACCGTCAGCACGCTGTGGGAGACATTTTTCAGGCGCCATGGTGTTTCGGCCGGTTTCGGCCGAAGTGACGTGTGTGGGCCGGCATTACGCAGAGTCCTGATGGCGAAGACTAATGAAACAAATCTGTCGCCGGCGCTCTGACACATTGCATTTTGCAACAGAGCGCTGATGGTGGATATTAATCACTGGGAATATTTTAGTCCACCTGCATCCCCGGTGAGAATTGTTTAACGTGCGGTAGTCATATGAGTTGTGTTCTGGAAAGTGCGAGATCCACAATCAAATCGCGCTGTAGGAAAAGGAGGCATGTCCACACACCGCACTGAACACAACGATGGTCATCTTCAAATGTTTCCGTTCATCAAGTGTTTCACGACATTTTAAAGCCGGCGATGCAACCTCGCTTACATTGAACAATGCAGGCGTGGTTGCATCGCCACAGCTATGCGGCACAACCCTTGTTTTAGCGGATCACTGACACTCTTTCCTGTCAGTATTCAGCACATGCATACCCCTCGGCCCGGCAGGCTAGGGCAGCCCGACGAACGCTGTCTTGCATGCTCACAAATACATACGGAGCGTTGGCATTCCGAAAGAAGTCTGCCCTTTTGCTTGTGGAAACCTTTCCACTATGAGATCTTCGTAGACTTGTAGATCGCATTAAGTAATCAACAAAACTTCAGGTTTGCATGCTGCATGGGAACTGTGAAGCCATTCTTTAATGTTTTCCTGGAATTCTATATCGTCGTAATGTTTTAGCGAGAAACAGTAAGCCGGCGTGGCATTTATAAAACGGCGAACCAATAAATCAACAGCAAACAGCGCGGACTCATGGCAAAGCTGGACAAGATGAATATCCACCCTTACCAAGATGAATGAGACTAGGGAATGACATGCAACTTCTCCCAGAGCATGTTTTTTCTGCATCTAAACACCAATCTCAAGTGCCCATCACATCTGAAAATGGTCCTTAGCACAATGTCATGACCCTTACCGGCGTTTTCATCAGCGAAGTCATGCCCTTATTTGCCTTACTTGCCGTCCGACACCTTGCATTAAGTCCTGTCTAATCCTTTCCTTCTCTGAATAGTTGTCCTGTCCTGTCCTTCTCTGAATAGTTGAAGGATTCAAAATCAACTGATGCACGGCGAGAAACATTCTCGTGATTTTTCAACGCCACCCCAAATGGCGGCCTTAAACATCAAGGTGGCTCCGGCCTCCAGACAGGGTGACCAAGAGGTCGTAGGAAATAAAACACCTCCGAAATGTCATCTCCGGCTGACATCTGGGATGACATGTCTGAAGAACCGGCCGCCTTTTCGCAAGGTTAGAGTCCCGGCTAAATCTGCTGCACTCTCACTGTCAGGAAGTCTGGCTCCTTGGTATTTATTCCGACATGCCTGACCGCCGACATGCATTATTCAGGATGGCTGGTCAACTAGAGGCAGCATATCTGCTGTGTGGCTTTTGAGCGTTCGTGGCAAAATGGAAGGTAATGGACCTTTCGCCTCGTCGTCCTGCTGAATCTAACTGAAGTTGAAAACTAGTCCCAGGCGTTCGGATATAACTGTTGTTTCTCTTCTAAGGTAGGTTCCCGATGGTCAAAATTTGGTTATCTTTGTAACATATATTAAGGCTTTTCATCATTGTAATGAGTGTAAGCCACTATGTTAAACATTTTTCAATCCGACTTTCAGGCCCAAAGACGCGTATATGGAGGAATGACAAAGCCGGCGTCATATTACACATCAGGGACACAGTTTTGCAACATCAGTTGGCGTGGGGGATGGGGGGGGGGGGGGGGGGCGGCAGTGAAAAGCGGTGAAACTTACCCCAAGGACGCCCACAAACGGGTTTCTCTACGGATGGGCCTCTTTTTCTCAGAGTTGGGTGAGAGAGTAAGTTGGGGCGGTTGGGACCCCAACTGAACAGGAAACTGCGCCCCTGTGACAGATGGGTGTCAGGTGTCTGCCAAGACATAAACGACAGCTCAGAGACAAATATGAACCATATGTTAACGGGATATTGCGATTAGTGTTCTACTTCCCGACTTCGTCCATCCAAAAGATGCCTGTGACTAAGATACTTGTGAAATTAACCAAGGCAATTTTTCGGGACAAGACAAAGCGCCCGTTGATCACCGGATCGCACTGTGAGCCGTCAACAAACGCTGCGTGTTTCTATTGGCTTTCCTCCCGTGCACAAAGCCAGACCCAATAAGCCGCGAAGCAAAGGAATCGGCATCGTTCGTTACCCAATTTCGTCACCGGTTACCGAATCGTAATCGTTACCCAATATGCAAAATGCGCTAGCCAAGAACTGGCGTCGCAATGACGATGCAATTTATGTAGTAACTGGTCTATATCAATAAGCCGCACACACACAAAAACATGCTGATCACCGTTCAGACGTTGATGGCCACACCTCCATCTTTCCACTTATGACTTTCTGGCAATGTTAATGGAACTATCTTGCCGATGGAAATAAGTCTGCGACATTTACGTATTGGCCGGCACTATCGTACCACCAGTAACATAAAGTTTTGGGTGTGCCAATTCCCCTTGCAGTCATCTCCAAGATGTGTTTCATCTCCGAGGACTGCTAGTCACACTCTTCAAATAGCATCTTTCTCCGAATTGAGCCACCCCTCCACGCTCGAGCACTTGGCCACCAGCCATCCCGGACTGAACTCTAACAGTTGTGGTCTCATGGCCTCTGTGCATTGAAGCTGCACTCCCCGCGTGGTTGCATCGATAATTGAACGCCAATAGTGGCGGCACACACACACACACACACACACACACACACACACACACACACACACACACACACACACACACACACACCACACACACACGCACGCACGCACGCACGCACGCACGCACGCACGCACGCACGCACGCACGCACGCACGCCACGCACGCACGCACGCACGCACGCACGCACGCACGCCACCCACGCACGCACGCACGCACAGTAGCAGACGTAGTCAGAAGATCATATGATACACTGTCGGGCGTGAGACACATGGCCACGACAGCACGTGCCGCGGAACGCATCATACCGTCGAGCATCCATAACAGACACATATTTGAAAAAAATCCTTTAGCGGAAACGGCGGGCACCAGGAACTCATATGGCGAGATAAGCCTCAAATCATACGATCCTTCATCATTTCAACACTAAAGGCTGGACCACGTGAAATGGGACGCATATGAGTGATAATAAATAAAATGTAATAAATGCATGAACTAGGACACACACTGGCTGGCACGGCGACACTAAACATCGCTGGGGTGTCTGCAGCGCCGATTCGACTCAGCACATTGCGCACAATGTTAAGGTCATGCTGCACAAGTCTCGCGCCAATCTTTAAAACAGAACAGTGGAATCGGCGATGCGTGTAGTCAGGGAAACCAGATGACGCACGCGCTTCCACAAGCACAACTTTAAAACAGAACAGTGGAATGGCGATACGCGTAGTCGGGGAAGCCAGATGACGCACGCGCTTCCACAACCAACGGCGTTTAAACTTGCGTAGATCGTTCCTCGTCGCGATCGATGGGACTTCGCTGCGCACGACTGTATAACGCTGCCGAACGCAGCGATGCTGCGAATATGGGCGATAAAGGGTGTTAATCAGTGGGATGGGCTCAAATCTGCGACCAGCCGACGCACGTGAGGTCCGCAGCAACGCAGGGAAGTGCGTGAATAGGGCACGATGGAGTCCCCCGGCGGCACCGTCTACGTAAAAAACTAGTCAAGTTTGAATGCGTGGCCACGCCTGTATCGCACTTGTCCGATACACGGCCAAAAGTAACGTTGTTGATGGGGTGAGATGGAAAGATGGCTTTTCTGTGAGGTGAAAGCGATCGGTTTGCACTTTGAAAGCTCACTTTTTATTTTTAAGCATTTCTTCAAGTACACATATAGTTTCGATACCTTTGGAGAGCAGCAACAGCGCCTGGAGAACGAATCTACCAACACAAATGTAAGGCCGTCAACATGCATGATACCAGGAATTGCAATATAAGACGGTACACTTGTCGTAACAAATTAAGGCACTGGGACGATGTGA